CGCTAAAGCGTTTGCCATTTGAAATAGGTCATTGTCAGAGAAGCGCAGCAGTGGACAAGGGCACAAAAACAGTTTGCATCATCAAGGTGTAGCTATACTGAATTTGGTCTTTTAATGTGTTAATGCAGTAAGCCACGTAAAGCATAATGATAATCTAAAAATGTGCTTCATGTGGTAACTTCTAAATTCATTTTATTTATTTAAACTGTTATCATTATATTACACCAACAAAACTAAATGTAGGGGTAAGAACAGGTAGAAATAGCTCTTTAACATAACTGCATGTCACCACCTTTTACATAGGGAGGTAAACGCTTAATGTAAAACTTTGCGTGTTGCATTCATATTCTAGGCTATCCTGCAGAGTTTGATCTTTTAATATCACTGCCTTAATGATTTTTATAAGCCATGTTAAGCGTAAAAATATCCACTGCGATTACCATGCCATACAAGTACACTGCTTATATTAAGTGAAATGTGAGAGAAAATAGATTTCCCTGGTTGTTGTTTAGAACATTAAGCCACGTTAAGAGTTTTACACTTAAGTGCACTACCTTTGCACTCGTATCTCGCGTCTTTTTGCAGTGTCTCAAACATGACAAGGCGTCCTAAAAGTGTGGCACTCAAGTCAAAAGAAGTTTAAACGTTTTTTTTCAAAAAGAGACCATGTATTTTTTTCCAAATTCCACTGCCTCGTCTTGCGTTTTTCAATGCAAAAACACGTACAGTGTGATTTGTGAATGCCTTTTAGAATGTCCTGATGAATAACCGCGGGGGCTGCAAGGGTGTGTCGTACACCAGTCAATCACAATGAATTGCATTTATAGTTCACTTCTGTCTTTAAAATGTATTTGAAATTCACAACAGAGAACTTGAGAACTTCAAGCAACCAAAAAGTATCTGTTGGCTTTGTGGTCTGATTTAAAAATACACATGAACTTTAAACCAACAGATAGCACCTCAAAACTGAGGGTCTCTAAACCATTTGTGACATTTAAGTACTTAAGCATTAAGTACTTCAAGATGTTTCTGCAAAATGCAGCCCTGAGATACTAACAGTCAAAATCAATAACTGCATTTGTTTGCATCTAGAAGCCTGTCTGTTGATGTGGGTGAAATGAGTGCCTGTCTTGTTTTACATATACTCACCCTCGCTGAATGTCTGGTGTGATAGTGGGGCACCTGGTGGTATGTGGAACCTCATACCAGGTTGTTGGTGGAACAGGGCAGTTTGAGGGGGGACCTTAAGTCCACTCAACATGTCTATTGAGCTGCGGTGCTCTGGGTCTGGAGAGCGCATCACCTCAAAATTCACTGGTATGGACACACAAAGCATGTTTGCCAGTGCTGACACAACTCCTTGAATGTTCTGGGACACAAGCAGACATATGGACAGAGGTGAGATGTAATCATTCTTGCTTTGAACAAGTCATTACTGCTACAGAATGGATAATAAAATTGCAGACACTCACTTGTGCTGCCACTGGGTTCAGGGTAACAGATACAGATACCAGGTCAGTTTGTGAGCATGCAGAGAGATGTTCAAACTGCGATGCAAAGAAACTGCTTGGTGGCTCTGTCTTGACTTCCCACTTCCTGGCTTCAGAACCTAGAGGCAAAACAAGAAGGTTGCTCATACCAACACACAGCACACACAATATCAAATCAGACTTAACTTTTTAAAACAATATTTTACTGCATTGAATATTCATGCAATATTACACAAACAACTATGCTGTTGTACAAAACATTAGCATGGTTGTTATCCAGGTATCTTAGGATGCAGCATAATAGAGCACAACAATCAGGTTCTGGAAGTAAAAACTCTATTCATTTTCTCCGTAGGGAAATACATTTTTAACAACAATTGATAAACCTTTAAAGACACCTGTTGTGAGCTTTGAGGTTGTTAATCGATTGTATATACTTTTGTTGAACCCATCTGTTTTTTATTAATTCAGCTTATTTTTAAAATAAACTTGTTTAATCACGAAATTTGTGGTGAAAAACTGCATTGCCCACGATCCTGTACAGAATATCCCATCAATCAGATAGTCACCATGAGCAAAGAGCACCAAAATAAATCTTTAGCTCCACCCACTCCCATGAAGCACCATGACTGAGGTAATCAAGCCGGTCTTCCTACGCTCTCAAAATATTTAAATATCTGTATATAGACATGTTTTTCAATTAACCTAATATATAGTGTTTCTATAGATATGACCAACAACTTTAAATGAAGAGTATTCTATTTATACATCATTTTTAATTTAAGTATTGCCATACAGAAGATACAGAAGACAGATGTCAGCACATTATATAAGTGTCACCCCATTATCTTTTATTTTTGCTTACTCCATCATTATTCTAAAACAGCTTTCGCATAAATGTGCACGCACAATGTCTTAAAATGCTATCTCAGCAGGTAGCTTACTAGGTTTTTATTAGTCTTTCTTAGTCTCTTCAGATTACCTTTACCACTGGCGCTGCAAATTATGGGGATGACTGGAGAGAGAGCAGGGGATGGCGGCTCCTCTTTAACTCTAGAGAGATCTGGATAACGGCTGATTTCCATGCCAACAACACTTTCAGGAGAGGATGATGGGACGTAACTGTCTGGAGTGTCCCTGTCGACACAATGCTCCTGACCCCTATTAAAGACACACAGAACCATTATATACATACTAACCTAAACCAAGACTTTATAGTCAACAATGGGTAGTCTCAGGGTCAGACAGCTCACCTTTGGACCAGTGATCTGATGCATATTGCAACTAGATGTGCTTGAGCATAAATGCTTATTTAAAAGGTAGGTGGGGTTCTAGGCCAGAATAAACTATATGGCTTTGTTATTGGCCAAACATTTGGCTACAGACTAAACAATGTGTAAAAAGCCCTGAAAACCTACCGAAGTTCCTCCTGATTGTTGTGGGGTGGAGTGGGAAGTGAAGCAGGAACATCAACAGTCTTTGGGCCCTGAGTGATGGTGTGTCCCAACAGGTCATCTTCAGCTTTGAATTGAGTAGTGAGCTGCTTCTGACCCAAGCTTTTAGAAACTGAGACATAATCACAAACAAATGGGATTTTTAAAATAGCTAATGTATAATTATAATATATAAGAAAATACCTACACTATAATATAACAAATTACATCTATGATTTAAAACATTTCATATTTTCTTATCTATGATGAACTATAATAAGCATTTTACAGTTAAGGTCTAAACCAAGACTTTGTATGCATGGTTTTGTATGCTTATGAAACTGAATTTTTCAGTGTTGTTCTCTAATGTGTATGTGCATGGGTTTACTTATTTTAATCCAGTGAAAGGATGTGCTTAACCTTCAGAAATTTCTGGACAAGCCTATAGGCCTCCCCATGGTTACCTTCATGAAAGCTATTTTATTGTCTATTCTGTCTAAATCTGTTTTAAAACAATATGATTGAAATTGACATTGCCATTAAAAACATACCAAACAAATATTCAACTTACTAAACTTACCAAGAATTTATATTATAAAATGTGCATAAATTATTTCAGGCAGTATATACACTCATGCTTACGCATAACTTCTGCCTTCCTGGTCAGTTCTTCCGCCGTGGCAAAACCATTCAACAACTTCTGCTTGGCTACAGGTGGCGGTGTGGGGGGAAGTGAGGCAGGAGGCGTTGGAGGATTGCTAAGATTGTTCTGCTACAAGACCAAACAAGCAAAAAAAAAACCACACAACTTTGTTAAAGTAAATAAATCTGCAAATTCACCATGTCTACACAACATAGCCTCAGTATAGTAGGAAGTGAAGGACGTAAGAGCCAAACCTTATAGATGAGTTGTGAGTAGTAATCAGATACTCCATTCAGTGATGCACTTCCAAAAGATCCAGAGAGCCTGTTCTCTCCATTCAGCTGCCCACTGCCATACGGGGGGAAATGTGCAAAGTTTACCCCAATCAAAGGCTCCATCAGGGGAAGCATAGACAGATGCTGTAAGGATGAAAATGGAGGACACATGATTTGAGTAAAAAAACAACAACAGTATTGTACAAACATGCATATGATGCTGTCTGCAACCAATACCAGCATCTCACTAGCTAATTTGCCGGTTTCAGTCGTAAGCCAAGTTGAGAAAGAACATTAGTGCTCTACAGTGCATAAACTCTAATTAATCTACTTTCCAGGGATGACCATAATAATAAGTAAGTTTAGACATTAAATGTATATGTCTAGATCAGGGGTGGCGAACGTCGGTCCTGGACAGCCGCAGCCCTGCAGAGTTTTGCTTCAACCCTAATCAAACACACCTGAACAAGCTAATCAAGGTCTGAAGGGTTACTAGGAAGCTACAGGCAGGTGAGATTTTATTAGGGTTGGAGCTGAGCTCTGCAGGACGGCGGCTCTCCAGGACCGGAGTTCGCCACCCCTGGTCTAGGTCGTATAGATTTAAGTCTATTTAAGTCTAGCACTTCATAACGATCATAATTATGCACTGTTTATTTTTGGTTATATCTGTCACAGAAGATCCTTAACATAAGTTGATCTTGAGAGTGGGTGTTTACCTGCTTGAGCTGAGTCATCAGTGTGTCATTGGCGTATACCGCCTTTCTCTCTTCATCATCCTTCTTCCTCTTCTTCCAGCGTGACAGCGGTTTCTCAGTCCCATTCTTTGGTGTCCGCTTGTTGCGCTGTTTTCTTTTGCATTGCTCTGGCACAGAAGGCTCCAAATCTGGTTTGCCTGTCAAATGGCTGTTTAAGCCACTCTATAGACAATAAACAACTCTTTCAGCTCCAAGAAAAGACAGACCAGGACAAGCTAATAAACATCAATCAAATCTACCTTCACAATTTCACAATTCTGTGCTTTGCAAAATGCTAATTTTTTGACATCTCACACACACACACACACACACACACACACACAGGTTTGTTTTTGTGAATTGTGGGGACATTGCCCTACACCTAAACCTACCCCTTACAGGAAACTTTCTGCATTTTTAGATTTTCAAAAAAACTAATTTCACTAAATCACTGAATGATTTATAAGCCTTTTGAAATATGGGGACACTCAAAATGTCCTCATAAATCACCATCTCTTTGTAATACCTATGTCATAACACAAATTTGTCAAGTCAAGTCAAAGTCAAAGTTTATTTATAAAGCACTTTTTTTTAAAACAACAAGTGATTGTCAAAGTGCTGTACACACATAAGAGAATAAAAATATCAGTGATTACAAACAGTCAACAACACAAAAAAAGACAATAAAACACCATAAAAACAATAGAAGAAAGCAGCTCTCATGTAGCGTCAAATGCCAGACTATAAAAATGAGTTTTTAGGCTAGATTTAAAAACAGCAAGTGTTTGAGCCTGTCTAATGTAGAGGGGCAAAGTCTTCAGTGTCACACGATCTTACAGAAATCATTCTAATATGATATCATTCAGATGAACTGAAAAAGTGCACTTTACGGATCGCTTGACAGAGCTCAGTCAGTGTTTGGTGAGTGAAAATACTGTATATCTGTGCTATATATATTAGCCTCTAACTCTCACACTGGTGAGTGAAACTAACAATTTATTAGCCAATGGCTAATATTATACATTATTTAGTTGCCCAGCATGAAAATTTAGTCGCATATGCAAGTAATTTATTTGCATTGTAGAGGGTTGTTTTATGCCATTTCTTCTCCACATTTACAGAAGTGTTTACATGTTCAAGATTATGATTTTTAGCTACATGTATTTAGCCGGTTGTGTAGGGAGGTAACCATAAAGCTCTTACTGAAGAATCTGCGCTGTCCAGTCTTAAAGAGCCTTTGCAGTCTGTCAGCCCCTCATCCTCTGACCGTATACTGTCCTTGGACATCTGATGTAAGAGAGGTGTTGAGGAAGGAGGAGGGGTGCTCTTGTTCTTTAGAAGGTGTTTGAGTAGCTCATTCCCAGTTTCCACTTTGGTGCTCTGAGCTGGACTCTGGGATGGTGGAGTGGGGGAGATTATCTCATTGCCCTCTTCTGTCTTTACTATACTGGCTCCTCCTGCACTATGGCCTGTCACTGCCTCTCCCTCAGCCTTCTGGCACACACTGGCTTCTAACTTTTCCAGCTTGATTTCATGGAGGAGGCCTCCCTCCGAGCCCACGCTGGACTGTCGCCGTAGTGGAGTACCTCCAGAGAGTGGGTTCTCCAGCTCTGAGGATGGTGGCAGGCCAGTCATAGAACTTACGGGGTTGGAAAACTCTGAAGTGTCCTGGTCTCCCATAATGGCAACACTACGTGTTGGGGTGGAAGATGTGTCTGATACACACGGTGTAAGTGGGGCAGTTATGTCAGAATGAGGTGTAGAAGGAGTTTTGACTGAATCTGCATCATCATCCAGCTTCTTCTTTCTACTCCTTTTCTTTTTGCCCTTCTCCTCAGGGATGATGTTGGAGTAGAGCTGAATGAGGGACTGTCCTGACCCAGGAAAATTAGGAGGTAAAGGGGTTGTGGAATCCAAACCAAATGAGGAAGCTTCCCCTCCACTGTGGGGTGGCATTCCATGCCCTCCAAACCCAGCTGCACGTGGCTGACCTGGGGAGAAACCATGCATCATGGGGTTCTTAGGTTGAAAATTAGGACCCATATCTGGGCCAAAGGAGCCATTCCCCGGCATAGGCCTTCGCTCGCCACCTTGCAAAAAGGTTGGACCTGGACCCACAAAGTCTAATGGCATATTTCCTTGCAGAGGGAACACTGGGCCCAACTGCTGTTGAGGCCCGGGTGTCTGCATGAATTCCTGTGACAGGTCAGAATTGAAGAAGGGCATCTGGGCAAGACCGCCCCCACTCTTGTTGGGGCCGAGCCCCAAGCCCTGCTGCTCCAGCTCTAGCCTCTGCAATGCCCTTTGTCTCTCCACCTCCTGCATGAGCTGCACCCGCTGTTTCTCCTGCTGCTCTCGAAGGCGCTCTCGACGCTCCCGCTCCTGGAAGCCTTCACTAAATGGATTATTATCATCAAACTTCACATGAGGGGCACTACTACTGGATCCTCCACCATTACCTCCAGCTACAGGGCCAGGCTGCCCAGGTTTACCTCCTGGAACCATAGGGGGAGTTGGCGGTGCCTGGAGAGGCTGGGTGGGGTTAGGAAGTGGCATTTGAGGGGGCAGGTGAGGTGGCATCCTGGGTCCACCCATTGGTCCAGTGGCACCTGGATGCCAACCTGGCACATTGGGCATGTGAGTAGGCTTACCAAAGTGAGGTTGTTGCATGGGCAACATAGAACCCATCATAGGCTGGCCCATTGGGGGTCCAACAGGCATCATTCCAGGGCCCTGTCCTTGGATTCCTGGCATGGCCTTCATTGGACCCATCATACCAGGTTGGAGGCGCTCTTGCTGTTGTTGCTGCTTAACACGATATTCCTCAATGAGCTCAGCATGTTCTTTCTGTTGCTTCCGTATCTAAATGAGAAATGGAGAGAGAAATAAGTGTGAACAAGAGACAAAATGCTGTTTATATTATATTATTCTGAAAAATGTTGACCAAATAACAGGTAGATAGTGATAATGTCATTGAATAAATCAGGAACTGAGTTCCTCTGAGGCCCTACATTCCACTCCATTAACAAAAAAAGTCACAGAAGTTAAAAAAAATAGTAATAATTAAAGGGCAAATCATGTTAGGCATAGGTCTCTATAAGTTCTTTATCAGGGGGTCAATGACCATTAAGGGATATGAATTGGAGATGATTTCAGAACACTAAGAAATATTAAAAGAATATATCAAAAATATTGATAATCATGTTTACAGAGGCACACACAAATTTGTTAAAAAAAATAATATCGAGAATGAGTATATTCCTCCCCCTTACATCATCTGCTATCAATAAACAACAGCAAGCAGCAAATCATGGTTCATTCATAGATGTGATATGAACTAAACACCATTGTCAATTTAAAAAAATAAAAACAAGGGATTAGTCCTGCAGTATTTTCTATGAAAGACTAGGAGTGACACTGAAAATAAAATGAAGGAATACGTTATCAATTTAGTAATAAAAAAAAAAGAATTAAATAACATTTAAATTGACAAATTAATAGAAATTTTAAAACCGTTTAATTCATGTTTAATAAATAGTAAATTAATAAATCATTTTGAAGGGATATTTCAAAATAAGTCTGAAAAAAGCTTTTGGTAGTAGCAATATCGACACAGCATACTCTAAATCTATGCATCATTGCCTCTCAATAGTCAGCCCTGACCTTTCTGTGGGAGAGTCAGTTTCTGACTGGCTTACAACCTGCTAAATTTGTGCCTCACCTTCTCTGACTAAATACGTAATGGAAATCGACACACAAGTTCCTGCTTTAATAAAGGCATGGTCTTTTTACTGTGCAATGACAGTTTGTCTTACTGAGAGTTTGTCTACTTTGAGTGGCATGTGTGCAAGATGTAGCTCTTAAAATAGAATCAAAAGTTGATTGGTTTCCCCCTAAGTGAACTGCTCCCAACTCAACTGACAAATGGATTAAAAAAAAAAGCAAAAAAAAAAAAGTTATGCTTCTTTAAATAACTATATTACCTGTTCCAATTGCTTTTGAACCACACTTTGCTGTTCAGTCACATGCTTCAGCTGTTCTGCGTCCTCCTCTGGGAACTCCCGTCCAGCTTTTTTCGCAGTGCGCTGTTTTGCAGAGAGGGCCTTTTTAGATTTTCTGTGGGCCCCAATCTGGTCCTCCAAAAACTTCTGCTGCATTTGAAGAAGCTGTTGAGTTTCCTGAAGCCACTCCTCATATTGTTTTTTCTGAGAATCATCTGGAAAATGAAAAAAATATGTGAGATTTATGGGATGTCCAGCCTCAAATGATTTACTTTTACAATGATTACAATGACAAAATAACATTTACTGATAAACAACTCTTTGGTAAATACAGAATAATAATATTAATATTAATAATAATAATAATAATAATAAACTTACTGACAAATCCTGGTCCAAAATTAGGGGGATTGGGTCTCGCAATCTGTGGGGGCAACTTTCCATCCTAAAAGGAAATTATTGTATATGCCATTAGAACAGGTTTAATGCTGGAGAGAAAAGGTCATAAGACTAAATAAACCTGTGAACATACTGGTCCAAAAAAATGTTGCGAAAAACCAGCTGTATCTGGGCCATGTGATCCTGGAATCTGTTGCATTCTGCCACAAAAGAAAGCATGGAGAGTATTCAATACAAAGAAATGAACCACTGAATATCGCATGTGGCCGTGTTCAGATGCAAGTAAAGAATTAGGCCAGTCAGGGTAATAAACAGCTTCTTGTACTACTGCAGTTGCTGCCAGTTTACATATAAAGTGTTTACCTGTTCATAACCATGGGTGTCATACCCATACTGTTCTGTACCATCACTTTGTTGATCCCCTTCAGAGCCACCATCTTTGCCTTCATGATTGGGTCAGTAATGGCATCAAAGTCTACTGAGTAAATAAATCACCACATAAATTACAGGATTGTGATTTGTACATCCCAGTTATATTCACATTTCAAGTATTTTTTTAAGTACTTGAGATTCTGAAGCTTAAAAAAAAAAGCTTACATTAAATAATTGTACAAAAATTATATTCAATAACACTAAAAACAGAATTGTAAAATCTGAGCTGTTGATAGTATAGAATCAAGTCAGGTTTAAACTATTAGATTGACAATGTACAGGTACAACAGCCTCAATTATCAATTAGTCAAAGTGGAGGTTAGGCTTACCAATGTTAGGGAAAAAAGGGTCACTAGACCGTTGCCGAATCATGGCCTGCATCTGCCTTTGCTGTTGTTGCTCCTGCCTCTCTTGATCCAGCAGATCTTGAAGAAGAAGGGGCTGTTCATCTAACAGAAGAGACCTGTTCTGTTGACTCTGTTGTGCTTGAGACCCTTGTTGCCCTGTAGCCCCACTATTGAACATGCCCTGTTGAGTTTGGGGGTTTACATGATGGGGAACCGGATACTGACCACCAATCATAGGCAGGTTTAGATCCACTTGTCCTTGTGAAGGTCCAAACCCTTGAAGTGGTACCTGCTGGTTGCCAGATTGCATCAAATTTGCGTTACCTAAAAGTGCCCCTTGGGTTAGAGCTGGATCTGTCCTGTGCCCCATTGTTACTCCAGGGTTTATCCTGTGTTCTTGGGGTTGTCCTTGAAGCATAACCATACTCATGTTTGAGCCAAGATTAGTCTGGCCATTGGGGTCACCCGGCATAGGAGAAATTATGGAGTCCTCTAGTTTTTCCTTGATCAACAGACTTGACAGCACTGAAACAGATCCAGTATGCACATCTGCACAAGATTCCTCAAAAAGACTAGAGACATCATCTTGACCACTTTTACTTCTCATAGGCCGATGCCCATCCACTGAGGTTCCAAGACCTTGGCCCTCAGTTTTTATGGTTTCAGACTGAGAATGATCCTGGACCTCTTTTGACATACTCTTTTCATGTTTGACATCACTAGGACCCTTTATGCCTTCTGATTTAGGTTGAGCTGAGGACATACCTCCACATCTGGCATTTCTTTTTTCAGACAAGGCTTTCTGAAGGTCTGAGGTATCCCCATGGTCATCTTCTATGTGACCACTCAGCTCCAGCTCTTCATTAAACATATATTTTTTGTCCTCAAGGTTCAGCTCAGGATCTGCATAAGCTATAAGATCAAACTTTCCAGATTTCAGAAGATCATCAAGATGAAGATCATTTGTTTCTAAGTCTAAATCTTTGCCATCATCTGCATCAAGGTTCAGGTTGTCCAGGTCTTCATCAACCAAGTCTTTGACCTCCACATCATCGAGGTCCTTCACAGCAGAGTCATGTGTTTCTAGCTTCTCAACACCACTACAAGGCAATGGGATTTCCTCTGTTGGACCAGGGGTTGTGACAGGAAGTATTGCAGATTTGGCACGAGTAACTGAATCACCACTGAATGAATGGCTAAGTGGTGCTGCCAGGGGGGTCTGCTGTTGTGCTGCATTTGTATGGTGATGCAGATTATCCATAGTAGCTGAGGTCTGTAACTGATTGACTGATCCTCGTTGTGACTGGCCCAGCATTGGGTCCATAATTCTGGGACCTTGATTTCCTGTAAAGGCCATATTTTGGCCTACCATGAAGCCATGAGAGGGTCTCTGGGAATGATTAGGATGGTCCAAAGCATTAGGTGGACCAAAAGATAGTCTGACCCTGTTCTCTGGAGCCCTGTGACAAAGTTCAATAAATGGTTGACCCATTATATTATGCTGTTGCATTGGAAGGCCACATGGTGGAAAATGCTGGGGTAGGCCCATTTGATGATTACTGCCTATTGACCTAACAACATCAACAGGTTGTCTCATATGTGGTGGAATATTGTCAACCATTGGTCCACCTTGTATCTGGTGAGGGGGCCTGAGGAAATGTTCCTGGCTTGGAGCTCCAGGAGGAAATCCAAATCTGTAAGGAATTTGGTTTTAAGAGAACTTAAAAACAGAATTAATTACTAGTTTGACAGTACAATTAATGAAGGAAAGACAATTACCTTTGTCCTTGCTGACTCATGCCAGTGTTGTTTAGATCCCTGGGGAATGGTAGTCGGGAGCAGTGGGGTTCATCAGGCATGGGCCCACGCTGATCGGTAAGGAAAGTTCCAGGAAATCTTTGTCCAGCATGAATTGGTGCAGGTCTCATAGTACCTGGATATGGAGGTGGAGGTCTACCAAAAATATCATTCTGAGGTCCAGAATCATCATGTGACCAATGCCTTGGAGTCCCAGGTGCAGCAGCAGAAGTTGCCTCCTGGAGACCCTTTTCCAGTCTGATTGCACTTTTCTGCTGCTGCTGTTTGAGAATTAACTGCCGTAGTCTTTGGCGCTAAAAAAAGAGCAATAACAGTATACAATCAATAACATGCCATTAAAAATAGAGCAGAGATTAAAGGAAAAGGGTAAAGTTCTCTAACTGAACAACACAATATGTTTTCAAACCTGTTTAATTTTCTCTTCAGTCTCTTTAAGTGGTGGTTGCATTGTGTTATGTGTATCTGATGGGATGCCTGTGTTTACTGGAACATCATGTCTTTCCCCTGTTTGTGAACATGGGGTTAGAGGAGCTTGTTCAAATGGATCATGAGTAGGTGTCTGGTTAGTGTTGGTCTGTTGTAGAGAGAGACTTTCATCTGAAATCCCAGGATGTTTTGGGGTTTGAGAATCAGGAGCATAGGGACGAGCAAATGGGTCCTGCATTCTTTGTGCTTGAAGGCTAAGCGGATCTGTTTGGTGGGACATGAAGTTTACTCTGGGATTTGGTCTGGGGAAGGCTTCTGGGTCAGCTCCTGGACATGGAGTTCCAGGGGGTTGAGAATATGGGTCAGTAAGAACTGGTCTTGGTGTTCCTGGTGGTTGATCATAAGCTTCATTTTTGACTGGCCTAGGAGTTCTAGAAGGCTGTGAGAAGGGATCTGTGGTTCTCTGACTACTTGGAGATTTAGGGTATCTCTCTCCGGAAGAAGGTCTTGGAGTTCCTGGCATCTGAGCATATGGATCGATAGCATGAGACGGAGATTGTCTGCGACTATTAGGTTGTGACTGAGAAAACTGATCAATTGTTGCATTTCTAGATGTGGATGATGGCAATGTATATGGATCAGAGTGTGGTCTTGGGGTACCAGGCATCTGGGCATATGGATCATGTGGTCTTGGAGTACCAGGAGGCTGAGCATATGGATCAGGCATTTGCTGAAGGTAGTCTGGTCTAGGTGTAGATGGTGCCTGTGAATACGTATCTCGTTGAGGGTGTCTGCTCATGGGCAAGGGTTGGGCAAAAGGACTCCCTTGCCCTGGACGCATCATTCTGCCCTCATTACTGAAACCATCTCCCATTGATGGATGAGGTGTAAGAGGCTGATGTGAATAGGGGTCAGAGTGTTGAACTTGGGATAAAGTGTCAGATGACCCCCTTCTCATGCCTTGCTGCCCTGCACTGAATGAGTTTTGCTGTAACTGGGAAGGAAGCATGGGTGCTTTGAACACTGTTACAGATCCTGACTCATTACTCCCTGGAATAGGTGTTAACAGTGGCCTAGAGTATGGGTCAGAAAGAACCATGCGGCTATGGGCCATGCGCTGGTATGCTTCCGATCTTAGGCCTGGTCTGGAAAAACTGTCTCCAGGTGTGACATTACTGATAAAATGTCTTCCTTGTTGCTCAGATAATGGTCCTGGTCTAGGTGGACACATAGGTTTCACAAACAGGTCCGATGGTCGAGGTGTGTCTGGAGGCTTTGCATATGGGTCAGTGCTGGCGGATGTTGGAGACCCAAAGGATTCATGGGCTGGTGAGGGCCGACTCCTTTCTTGCATGTCAGACACAGAACTTCTGCGAGGCGTGCTTGACTCAGATGGGGGTGGCCTGGGGGTTCCCACCATTTTGCTATATGGATCCCATGGAGAAGAAGGACGGGATCCAGATGATTCAGGTGAAAACATTTGAGAAGACTGAGGCTGAGATGAGGGACCCTGTGGGTACTGAGTATCCTGGGTAGGGGTCTTTGCTGTGGATGAAGGGGGTGGCAGTTGAGGACGCACAAATACATCATCTGTTGATGCAACCGATGTTGCAGTTCCAGGAATCTGAGTCATTGTAAAGCTATCCTTGGGGGTTAACGTTTGCAAAGGAGAAGCATTACCTTCACTGGTGGGCTGAGTTGTCATTGGACTCTGATTACCACTTTTAGAGTTGTCTCCACTGAATTGCTGTTGTTGTTGCTGCTGTTTCTGAAGTTGCTGCTGCTCATTTTTCACCTGTTCTAACTTTTGCGTGGCTTCAATTTTTGCCTGTTGTTTGCTCATTTGTCTCATTTGCTGCCATGAACAAAACAAAAATAGATACTAGTTAATTAAGCCACATCACCTAAAATAAGAAAGCAGTATTGATTACATTTTTGTGGCCAAATTATTATTTTTTGTTTCTACTAAACACTTTCATACCATATTTATCGGTACTGGGCCTTGGCAGATGTGTGCCAGAACTGTACCTCAACCTGGGATTCTAAGAAATTATCCTCTCAAAACAGCCTGCAACTACTTAAAGGGATAGTTCACCCAAAAATGAAAATTACAACATGATTTGCTCACCCTCAAAGCCATCCTAGGTGTATATGACATTCTTCTTTCTGACGAATACAATCGGAGTTATATTAAAGGGGTCATATGATGCTGCTAAAAAGAACATTATTTTGTGTATTTGGTGTAATGAAATGTGTTTATGCGGTTTAAAGTTAAAAAAACACATTATTTTGTTTTTCATCCCGCCTTTTTGAAACGCATCGATTTTTAGTGGATGGTAGCCCAAAATTTTAAGTCCAAAAAATGGCACCGATCCATTATAAAAGAGGTCCACATGGCTCCGGGGGGTTAATAAAGGCCTTCTGAAGCGATGCGATGTGTTTGTGTAAGAAAAATATCCATATTTACAACTTTATAAACCTTAATCTCTAACTTCCGCTGTCGTACGTATCTCTAGCTTCCGCTAACTGTCGTACGCACGTTCACAAGAGAGTGGCATCCAGGGGATGACGTAAGACGTAGGCATAGCATAAGCTCCGGTGAGAAGTCTCACGAGTGCTAGTCATGCAAGTGCTAGTCTCGCGAGAAATAAGTTTTGTTTACAGCAAAGGAAAACCAGTGTCCTCTTGGCTTATATCGAAATCCTCCAACATTTTTCTTTACAAATCCTCGTTTTGTACTACTAATTCGTGACTACGGCTGCAACAAATGATTATTTTGATAATCAATTAATCTAACCATTATTAGTACAATTAATCGACTAATCGTCAATTATTTCACTGATCAACAGACTTTGATTATCCAGCTTTTGCAATTAGTTAAAATATTGAGTTATACATATTCTAAATAAATAAATAAAGGCAATCACTTCAGCTTTTGAAAATCATATCGTTTAATTAAAATTATTATACAATTAATTTGTACAAATAAATATATTTGGCACAAAATGAGATGACTGAGAAACTCTCTCATTCACCATTTAGTTAGCCATATGAAAAAATTAACTGAATGACATCATTCTGCCTGATAGTAAGTCAACAAAATAAAGGTAAGTCATAAGATGTTTTATTTTTGGATAAACTATTTTATTCACAACATAATCTCTCTTAAAATACATCATAGGGTTATGATAATCAAAACAGTCCTGAGCTAGATCAAGTTTTGATCTCTGCAAACCAAGCTATCACTTTAATGAAATAATATTTTTTTCCCACTAATAAAAATATTTTATCAGTAGCTAACCCCACACTGGAGAGCTGATTTATAACAGAAAATCAAGTTGTAATTCTAACTGAAAGCGACACTGACTCTGGTTTTTCATGTTTAATACTGTAAAGCAGCTTGATTTAAGGCTATCTATTGCATAAAGTACAATATAAACACACGTGATGTGACTGGACTTTACTGGAGTACCGAACTGCAGAGCTCGTGCAAACATCCACATCGCTGTAATCAGATGCGTTTTTAACTGCTGCTTTCACACCACTGTCAGTTTTTGATGTGTTTATTTTGTTTTTGAGAGAAAAGCGTGCTGCATATGTTTACATATTCATCCAGACGCCGCTCAGCAGCTTCAGGTTCAGTTCTGCTCCATTTGCTCTAAACTGAAGCGCTGTGTCTTCTTCTCTTGAATTGCATCCAGGAGGGCTGAATTACAGTCTTGAGCTACAGCACCACACTGGTCAACCTGCGTTATTGCAGAGTCTTACATTAAGTCATATGCGATCAAATGACTAGTCGACAACAAAAACATTTGCCAACAATTTTTTTGGACACTTTTTTTCGATAATGTCGACTAATCATTTCAGCCCTATTTGTTTTGTTTTGCTCTCTCCTCTGCGCTTCCACGTTCGTCACTTCCGTGTTTGTCACTTCCGCATTCGTCACCGCGTTTGCCTACGTCCTACGTCATCCGCTGGACGCCACTCTCTCGTGAACGTGCGTTCGACCATTAGCGGAAGCTAGAGATTATGATTTATAAAGTTGTAAATATGGATATTTTTCTTACACAAATGCATCGCGTCGCTTCAGAAAGCCTTTATCAACCCCACGGAGCCGTGTGGACTTCTTTTATAATGGATGGGTGCAATTTTTTGGACTTCAAATTTTGGGCTCCCATCCACTCCCATTATAAAGCATGGATTAGCCTGGACATTATTTAATATAACTCTGATTGTATTTGTCTGAAAGAAGAATGTCATATACACCTAGGATGGCTTGAGGGTGAGTAAATCATGGGGTAATTTTAATTTTTGGGTGAACTATCTCTTTAATGTTTAATACTTAATGTTTATTTGTTGACTTTGCTTTTTTGGGACATTTTCCTGGTTTCTTAAGCAAATCTTAGACTGCAGTTTATAATGACAAAGAAAAACTGAATGTAAAATTATGTAAGACGACTTCGGAAAACTGAAAATAATGTTACAATGACCACTGACATGCATGTACATAATGAAATGTAAACATTTTTATTTATTTACCATTTAATTCTTTAAAGCATCACTGACTTCTACTTGTTATTTCGATGCAAAGCTTTGTCATATGCCCAGCCAAGGCATATTGCATTTCATTCTGACAAATTAACAAAACTAGAGCAATTACTGATCACATCCATTTGAATTCACATCCTCTAACAAAGGCCTAGTTTCAACTGAAGTCAAAAAGCTATTTAAAAAACAAACTAATTCTGATTAAAGATTATATTGTGCTGATCAACCCATTTTTTAAAGGTGAAAGCTTTGATCAGAGGTTGAGACACTCTGTTTTGAATAACACACTCTCACAGTCTAGCACTTGCAATGAAATATCCCTTGGGCTGCCAATCACCTGTCTGAACTTCCACTCTTGTTCATGCTCAGACTCCTTGTGCTTGAGTGGGTCCTTGAAGAGCAGCTCTGTGTCCATGGAAATGCTGGGATCAAAGGGATCAGCTGGCTGCTGCTGTTGCTGTATTTTCATTGTGTCATTAGACAACTGAACTCTGTTTATACGAAGGGCTGCTCTGTTGTCTCTAGCCTTTTGCTAGTGGGTCAGAGCCAAGAAAGAAGTAAAAATCTTCATATATGTATATAAACTGAGCTGCGCAAAAAATCGCGCGAATATGAACGTGGTTTTGCGCAACTCGTCAGTGAACAACGGCTCTGTGTAGTTAATGCTGCTCAATGTGAAAGCCCGCAGGTGATGGAGATTTACCGCTGATTACAGAACCGTCTTTACTGACAAGATGCGCGTTAAATATCGCATGCGATTAATCGTGCAGCCCTAATATAAACACATCCAATTTTAGCATTTATGAGGCTTAACAGAGTCTCTTACCACATAAGGCGCCCTTTCCTGAGAACTAGCTTTCCTCCATAACTTTGCAATTTGCTTCACTCTAGTTGCCCAATCTGTGAAAAAAGTCAGATGGTTGGTCTCTAACTTGCCTCCATTTCAAGTGTGTAATTCTATTTGTAGTGATTTAGGACAATCCATTCACCTGGAAAATCATCTTGAAGGTTTGGGAAGTTCATATTGGTGTAAAGAACAGGAGCCACAGTGGCCATTTCACCAAGAGTTTCTTCCTTCTCCCACTTTAACGTGCTCCTCTGAGCATTGGACATGGTGTCAGTCTCCACCTCTGGTGGAGGGCAAGATCCAGGAACAGGAATAGGGGAAGCCCAGGGACCAATCACATCACCCCCTATCTGGCTGAATTTCTTCTCCCTGTAGTGAACACATTAAGCCATTAAGTTTCACTGAAACTATATAGATTTTTAAAACAGAAATGAAAGTACTAATCTGTGTTACTCAGAATCTGAATTCACTCACCTCACATTTTCTGGAAAAGGCATGCGGTGAATGGAAGAGAATGTGCCAGACACTCCAGCTCCAGGAATCACAGGGTTTGGAGGAATCACAGTTTTTGGACCCATCAGGCCATTCATCATAGGCATGCGAGGGAACATTCCACCAACATCTCCTGCAAATGAGACCATGGAGAAACATGCACTTTTAAAATGAGCATTACATTTTACATGCGACACTGAAGTTACAAGCACACAACACCACCACATCTGTGTGGTTTACTTGACTGTTAATATGAGGAGATATATGAGGAGATTGCAGTCAACTTGATACCTGGGTTCTGGAGAGACATTGCTGTACCTGAGGCATTGGGGGCAGTGTTGGGTGGATGTGGAAGTTGAGGCGGCTGGCTGGCATTTGGACTGAGCACTGCAGTGAATAAGTCTTCCACATCTTTACTCTCCAGTTCTAAATCGAATGAATAGAATGAAGGATTTTCATTTATAAAGACTTTTTACCAACTCCCAACAAAGAAATTAATGCATAACACGTACAATGAATATTGTTAAAAAGTTACAATTGATGCACTGAATTTTCATGAAACAATGCATTTTTAACATTGCATAAATATAAACTTATTCTGAGATATCTAAAAAGGCATATTATCCACTTTTCTAAATGGGAGACAAAAAAATTCAGAAAATTAGGAAAATAAAATATTTAAAACATCTGCTCTGTTGCAGATTGTCAAAATATTTTAGAAAGTAACAAACCTGGAATTTTGTAGAACTTGCTAAGAATAGCCCCTGTAAAAAAGGAAATATAACTAGGCCATTTAACAAAATCCAACATCCAGAAGATCAAATATTACAGCATAGTAACTGAAAATATTAAAAGACTGAAGTTGTCACCAAATACCATTTTTTTCAAGTGCAAAATGCCAAACAATTTTTCAGTTATTACATTTAAGTTTGCAAACAATAATCACAACTGACAAGGTGGAAAAGCTGCTAAAGTAAAATCACTTGTTTGCTAAGGCAGAAACAAGAAATATTCATAATTAAATACAGATTAGGCCAGATATCAAAATTATCAGATACCTGTGCTAAAACTGTAACGCAAATGTAACATACTTTATAAGCAAGGATAACACACACTAAGTGGACAAAAGTATTGGGACCATTACACCAACAGGGACTTTACTGACATTGCATTTTAAGTACATAGACACTCCCCCCGTTCTGTATTTAGTCATTTTTCTTCTGTAAGTTTTACCAGAGACAAACTCCTTAACATTAAGCAACACAACCCGGACAATATTTTTCTGGTCTTTGATTATTCAGACGTTTTGTTGGACATTCTAGTCGGAGGTGCATTCGAACTGCAATCCCAAGCATTCATCTTGTGAATGTTCGTTCCCTTCTTAACAAAATGGATGAACAACAACTTCTCACCCGCATCAACAAGGACTTTTCAAACTTGGCTGCATTGTGCTGCACTGAAACCTGTCTGAGTGAAGCCATTCCAGACAATGCGCTGCATTGGCCGGGCTTCCAGCTGTTCAGAGTGGATCGCATTGCGGAGTTAACAGGGAAAACGAGAGGTGGTGGATTGTGTTTCTTCATCAACGAAAGTTGGTGTTCAGATGTAAAAGTGCTGAAAAAATATGGTATTTTAATTTAGAGGCACTCTTCATAAACTGTAAACCTTTCAACTCGCCACAGGAGTTTTCCTCTTTCCTCTTTCATTCTTGCGATTGTCCTCCAGACGCATGTGCGCTTCAACAGCTGGATGAACAAATAACTGAAATGGAGCAAAGGTACCCAGACTCTCTTTTAATCATTCTTGTAGATTTTAACAAAGCAAATCTTTCCTGTGAACTGCCAAAATACAGACAGCACATTACATGTCCCACCAGAGACAGTAATATATTGGATCACTGTTACACCACAAGAAAGGATGCATATCACTCTGTCCCATGGGCAGTCTAGTTCATCTTATACCGACCTACAGGCACAAGCTGAAATCAGCTAAACCGGTATATAGGACTGTTAAAAGATGTACTAATGAAGCAGAGCGGGATTTACAAGCCTGCTTCGACTGCACTAATTGTAGTGTTTATGAAGCTGCAGCCACCAATCTGGATGAGATCACAGATACTGTAACTTCATATATCAGTTTCTGTGAGGACGTGTGCATTCCTACCAGGACATTCCTATCATTCAATAATGATAAACCATGGTTTACTGGGAAACTCAAACAGATTTGTCATGTCAAAGAGGATGCTTACAGAAGTGGGGATAAAATCTTGCATAACCAGGCCAGAAACAGACTAACAAAGGAGATCAGAGTGGCTAAAAAAAAGCTACTCCGAAAAGCTGAAAAAAAAAAAAAGTTTTCAGCCTATGACCCGGCGTCAGTATGGACTGGTCTGAGGAACATCAAGTACAAGACACCACCCTCACAGTCTGTGGAGAATCAACAACTGGCTGATGATCTGAATGTGTTTTACTGCCGGTTTGAAAAAAAAAAACCCTATCTCACCCCTCCACCCTCTCTGATCTGCACTTCACACACACCTACCCCCTCTCCCTCTCCTACCATTCAACCTGCGCTTAAGGTCTGTGTACAGGACGTGAACCAGGCCTTCAGAAAACAGAAGACTAAAAAAGCTTCAGGCCTAGATGGTGTTTCACCTGCCTGTTTAAAAATGTGCACTGACCAACTGGCCCCATTCTTTACACAGACCTTCAACAGATCTCTGGAGCTGTGTGAAGTTCCCTGCTGCTTCAAATGTTCCACTATTATTCCGGTCGCCAAAAAACCCAAAATCACTGGACTTAATGACTACAGACCTGTCGCTCTCACGTCTGTGGTCATGAAGTCGTTTGAGAGACTGGTGTTGGCTTATCTGAAAAACATCACTGGACCCTTGCTGGATCCTCTTCAGTTTGCATACAGAGCAAACAGGTCTGTGGATGATGCAGTCAACATGGGACTGCATTATATTTTGCAACAACTTGATCCATCTTGACCTGGGACTTACGCAAGGATCTTGTTTGTAGACTTCAGTTCGGCCACCAATACCATCATGCCTGACCTTCTCTCAGACAAACAGACCCAGCTTTCTGTGCCCACCCCAATCTGTCCATGGATCACTAGCTTCCTGACAGACAGGTATCAGCTAGTGAGGCTGGGTAAACTCACATCCAGGACTCTCACGAGTCCTGGATGCCCCTCAGGGATGTGTGCTCTCCCCACTGCTCTTATCCCTGTATACGAACAAACACACTGCAAAAGACCCCTATGTGAAGCTCCTGAAATCTGAAGATGACACTACCATCATCGGCCTCATACACAATGGAGACGACTCTGCTTACAGACAGGAGGTTAAAGAGCTGGCTGCCGGGAGCACACTCAAAACAGTGGACTTCAGGAGGAACCCCCCCTGCACTCCCCCACTAACCATCATGGACAGCACTGTGGCTGCAGTAGAGTAATTCAGGTTCCTGGGCACCATCATCTCTCAGGACCTGAAGTGGGACACTCACATAGACTCCACTGCTAAAAAGGCCCAGCAGAGGTTGTACTTCCTGAAAATCACTTTGGACCCCTCACACCCAGCCCACTCTCTCTTTCAACTGTTGCCATCTGGTCGGCGCTACAAAGCACCGACCACCAGAATAAGACAAGGACAAGAACAGTTTTTTTCCCCCCACAGGGTATATTCAGACTGAACAATTAAAACTTTCATAACTATACATTATCTATTATAACTGACAAATTATTTATACATGGCATCTGAAAATTGTAAATTTGTAAACTACATAAACTGTACACTTGTAAATAACACCTGTACATTCATTAAAACAATTATGTTTTTTTTCCCTCTAGATTTCTACTTCTGTATTATATTGCATTATTTAATTTTCTGTTTTCTTACATTAGTTTTATATTTCATCTCTACTGTTTAATTCCTATGTATGTCTGCACTATCATGTATGTTTGCACTATGTCTGTTTTTTCTTTTGCACTGGAAGCACCTGTTGCCAAGACAAATTTCTTGTGTGTGTAAACATACTTGGCAATAAAGCTCTTCTGACTTCTCCTGTACAGCTGAAACAATTCAGTCAGGCAGGTAACATTCTCCTGGCATCCGCTAAAACCCAGGCTCACCCATCAGTTTGCCAAAGAGAGAAGTGCGACTTGTCACTCCACAGAACATGTTTCCATTGATCCAGAGTCCAGTGGCAGCATGCTTTACAACACTCAATCCGACACTTGGCATTATACTTGGTGATGTAAGGCTTGCATGCAGATGCCGCATTTTTGCGCTGATATTAATGCCAGTAGAAGCTTGGGTCTCTATGGAATCAGCAGAGAGTTGGTGACTTTTAACCACCATGTGCCTCGGCACTCTGTGACTTTGGTCTTCCACTTTGTGGCTGTTGCTGCTGTTCCTAAACACGTCCACTTTCCAGTAATACCACTTACAGTTGACTGTGGAATGTGGAATGGGTCTGATTGAAACACCTAAATTCAATAATCAAGAGGTGTGTCCCAATATTTTTGTCCATATAGTGAATGCATTTCATATGTGGTGTGTTGTGAGTGAAGTAGTAGAAAAAATAATAATTATTATTTTAATAATTTTTAACAAAATTGCTTTTTTTAGACAAAATAATAAAAGTTCCATTTGCCAAGTAAACTGACACTTACCATCGGAAACCATCTTGTCCAGCTCAGGACTCAATATTACATCCAGAGGTTCTTCCTGTAGTGGCCGAGACCCTCGAGCAGGGCCAGGCTGAGGAGGAGCTGACCGATAATCCGGCAGAGTGCCAATGTCCAAACCAGCTGAGAGAGAGAAAGTTAAACAGCTGCTCTCAAACTTAGTTTCTTACCTCTACTGAATAAAAAACTCAACTTCTGCAGAAAAACAGGTCTCATTCTGTAAACGCCTAAATCAGCAATTTATTTTCTACTGTGCCTGAGTATTTGCTAAGAAAAGGAAGTAAAAAACTGGGAGAGTGAGGATAGTTATTTCATGTCATGGCAAAATAAGGGAAAAAAGTTTATTGCTCTCTCTCCCTTGCTCCCTCTTTCATCCCCTCCACTAACTCAATTTTCCAAGAAAAACAGGAACCTAATTAGTGTTGCCTGCTCAACTGAGTGTGAAAAATCTCTTAAAAAAGGATGTTCTTTCATCATTGCATATCGTTTCCCATTAGAATAGATGAGAGCTTGATCAATGAAAAAGCAAGCAATTGCAATGATTACTCATAATAAATAGTCATCAAAATCAAAGAGTCAGCCATTGTGCTTTGGTCTAAATGCAGCGGTGAGCTTCCCAATGACAATTACTCTGGTTTCATGTAAAGTTCTTGTTCCAGGTTCAAAACAGGTTAAGCTCTATCAACAGAATATGTGGCATCAGTTGTTTACACTATAGTCATGCATTTATAAAGTCTATGGGGGCAATGCAAGTCTGTTACAGGGTTTAAAAGCTGAGATGTGTAGCTTGTATTTTTGTTTAAACACTTGTATGATTTTTTTCTTACAAAAAATGTAACTATAAATGTACACTTGTAAGGTTAGTAAGCAAATTTAATCACACAAATGTTAATGTGTAATGTTTTAAGTGTATAAAGAGGTTTTAACATTTATTTTTGTTGTTTTGCCTGACTACCACTGTAAATGCATAACCATAAAACATGACTTCATTTATTTATTTTTGTTTTTTACAAGGTGAAGTATAAGTCAAAATTATATTCTGATAGCATGTTGTCAATACAACTTAAGTTGTATTCCACTTGAAACATTTCTTTAAACCAAGCACCTTGGTATGCACTTAAAAACAAACCCTTATATACAGTGGGTACGGAAAGTATTCAGACCCCCTTCAATTTTTCACTCTTTGTTATATTGCAGCCATTTGCTAAAATCATTTAAGTTAATTTTTTTTCCTCAATGTACACACAGCACCCCATATTGACAGAAAAACACAGAATTGTTGACATTTTTGCAGATTTATTAAAAAAGAAAAACTGAAATATCACATGGTCCTAAGTATTCAGACCCTTTGCTGTGACACTCATATATTTAACTCAGGTGCTGTCCATTTCTTCTGATCATCCTTGAGATGGTTCTACACCTTCATTTGAGTCCAGCTGTGTTTGATTATACTGATTGGACTTGATTAGGAAAGCCACACACCTGTCTATATAAGACCTTACAGCTCACAGTGCATGTCAGAGCAAATGAGAATCATGAGGTCAAAGGAACTGCCTGAAGAGCTCAGAGACAGAATTGTGGCAAGGCACAGATCTGGCCAAGGTTACAAAAAAATTTCTGCTGCACCGAATACTTTCCGTACCCACTGTATATATTTACATATATATTGCACACATAGGTTACGCTACGAATGATAATTATCTGTCACTGATAAATTGGGTTGTAAATTTTCTGTCATGTTCTATGTTTATCTATCTGTAAAATATTTTAACATTCGGTATTTTAAATAAGAGACCACTAAACCTTTGACAAAGGTAGTGTTATCAAGTCCTGTGCTGCATTTATTTCTTCTGATTCTGCTCTTATAAATCCTTTAAATTTTACAAGTATTCAGAACAGAATGAAGTAGCTATAAAATTATAGTACTAAATTATATATACAATTGTAAAATAAAACAAATTATAATGGTATTCGTTATAAATAAGGTAGGCCTATAAACATCTAGAAAGGCTATAAATTATATTGTGTGTGCAAGAGGCTCCGGCATGATCACAGATATTGTCTTTATCACAGTGGAAAAAACTAAAATATTCTGTCATTTTTGGTCGTAAAGATAGGAGTAAGACATCATTTGAAACTGTATTTACTTTTGATTATGCACAGTATACTCACAATAAGAACAAAGCTATGCCTTTGTAAAATAAAGAAAACAAATAGGATGAGCTTTCCACCGACTCTGTATCCTTAACTTTTGCATTGCAGCCGTAAAAATAAAACGAAGACATGTTTTTTTTTTCCTTTTTGTTTTGTTAATTTTTTTTTATTATTTAACTGAAACATATTTCATGTAGACCTATTTATTTTATTTCTATCATATGTCATTTTGTTCTATTTACCTCCATTTTTTCCTGTTGTTTATGCTCATGCAAAACGTTGAGTTATGCATATAACTACTGTTCCCAGAAGGAGGGTAACGAGGTACAACACATGACTGTGGGATATCTAGCTCTTGCGCCATCTGCTGAAGACACCTATATTCACGCCTGAAAGGCCAAGATAGCAGCGGTCGGCTCCGCCCACTTTAGGCTTCAAAAATGCTCTTTTGAACCCTACCAGTGACATCTCAGTCACTACGTCCATGTTTTTTTTACAGTCTATGGAACTAAACCACTGAAAATAATTTGTTTTACTTTTAATGGGTCACATACACTTATCCATTGTAATTTAATTTAAATCTAATTTAACATTCTAATTTTGTCGATTAATGGATAGGAAATGAACATCGCAATGTTTAAGAATTAGCTCAGTCAGCGGAGAGTAGGCGGTCTTTAGCAGTTGTGCGTTCTCGACTACCTCTGGAAGTGATCGAAAGTGGACAAGCTCTAAACGTTTTAGAACATGTTCACACCTGTATTTAGCATTGTCCACTTGTGATCGGATTGATGAAAATGCATCTTAATACCAGGTGTGAACAGGGCCTTAGCCTCCTTTCACTGTGGGAATATTTCTAAAGTACTGTAGGGAATTGCTGCAATTATTATTACTATGTATCATTTACCTTATTTTTTTAAAAGAAGGGGGAAACAAATAGTTAGCTGTCATTGTTAAAATTCTATAAGTAATGGACTTTTTTAAAAGCACAACCTTTGATTGCATGTTGATACACCATACGTTAACCTTTTTTTGTAACCCTGTGGAACTTGCTTTCACACTGAAGCAGTTACATCACTCTCAAACCACTAGTTTTTCCACTGCAAGGCCATTCCACAAAGAGAAGGGAATGTGTCCTTGCAAACTAAAAAGCTGGTGATTAAGGAGAAATAAAATTATCAACTAAATTAGACCCTTGAGAAAAGAAACTGCACACTGCAAACAGCACATTTCAAGCACAAGTAAAATGTCACAGACTGCAAACAATCACAGTTGCCAACTAAGGTACAGTAGCGGCCAAACCCAACATCCATCTAAGGACAGCTTAGTTCTCACCTCAGTGTCACAACAGGTTCATGTGCAAGAAAACATGCAGTTTGTTTGTGGTTAGTAAAAAGATGCAGAAAGCCAAAGATGAGTGTGCACGTTTGTCAGAAAAGGGATCATGCAGAAACTGGCACTACAAAAAGTCTGAGGAACTGTTTGGGGGGCTGAGAGGCCAGGAGAGGGGGGCAGCTTTATTTCTACAGCCAGAGAGGCTGTGCCAACAGGGCTCTTACCGAATGGAGAGGGGGAACTGTCCACCTGGAAAGGGCATAAATCAAGACCTACAAGAACCCAAACCAGATAAAACCAAATAACTATAAAACAGAAATGCAAAAAAAAAAAGTAATAAGAAAAAGGAGGAGGATGCTAAGACAACAATTAAAAAGAAACAGCAAACCAGGTAAAAATACAAAATGCAAGTGTGAAAATGTGAAAGAAAAGAGGAGATGCACTTCTGAAGACAAAATTGTAGGTGTCCTTTCTGAGATTGTTAGAGCATCTGCAGAGTGAAGAGAGAGGGGAGACTATCCTATGGACAGATCTTCAGACTGAGTCTACCTGATTCAGGGCCTGGCTTGACCAGGTCATCGGACAGCATTCCCAGGAGATCATCATCTGAATGTAGAACCAGCTCGGCTAAGGGATCCTCCACATTGGCTAGAGATCAAGAAGACAAGTGTTTCTGAGCACGAGTAGCCACACTAATCACCAAGTGCTCTTTCATTAAATGTTACCAAGGGCTGGGCGGTAAGACATATTCTGTGTGATGGTGGAAATATGTCAACTGGATCTTCTTGATAACGTGTGCAACTTCTGCCATTTGGACATGGTTTGGATTTTAAAAACACAATGTCATGAACAAAACTACTGTGTCATGAGAAGCTCTGACCCAAAACCCAGTAAGCTGCCTTTTAAGCTGCTTTTTAAAGTCACCATGAAATCTGAATTGCTAATTATATTTATGGAATATTTCAGTTATAAGATTTTAGTCATACCACCCACCCCTAATGTTAGCTGAAATATTCTTTAGAATTTCATGTGCATTAAATGAATAAAGATGTATGCATAATAAGATTACCAAATCAAACACTTGTTTCAAGACTAAAACGCCATGAAAGGGTTAAATGCAAGAATCTGCAGAGCAGGAGAAGGTTCACTCTATGAGAGATGAAAATCTCTAAGGACAAACAAGCGGCCCTGAAAGCCTTCGAATAGCTTTGTGATTGCTCTCCAAACGAATACGCACAGGCCTTCTAAACACTGCACTGTGACTGCCAGCTTCCTATCCTCCCCCAGAGAGCTCCGACAGGGAATTCAGAAAAGTGCTGGCAAATTGGGTTTTAAAAAACATGTTAGGTTGGCTACGAGCAGAGGTCTGCTGGCCTGGGTGTAAATGAGGGTTGACAGAACTGAGGATAAGGAGAAATGGTGAAGAATGAGGCGTCTGAACAAGCTCTTCAGCCTATAAGAGTATGCAAATCAGGGCTGAAGAGGACACAGAATGAGCAGATGGGGGCAAAAAAAGTTCATTTGTATGGTTTGTCTTCTTTAGTCCTTGTGGCAAACCATGAACCTAGAGTCTCTAATGCAAACCACTGGAGTTACACTGTAGGATTCTGCAGTGCTGTTGGGTTGTGTGATGCAGTGTGTGCAGATGGGAAAGCGGGAGGAACTGTGATAATGTGCATTATACCTCTCTGCAGAATTCACTGCAATCTAGAGCACAAAAATGTGACATGACTGATCACAGCAGAAGAAACAAACTTATCTCTAAACAAAGGCAATTCACAGTGGAGGCAGGAAATATCTCTGGACAGCACTGTGTGTCTATTTAGAAAATATGTGTGTAGACATATATTCTTCAGCTCTACTCATCTACATATATTTCTAAATATGAAGGTACAGCTGAACATACGCAGTGGCCCTGCTTTAGACGAGACAGGAGTGGAAGTGGTACTCAGAAGCGGGCCAGATAAAGGGTCCAGGAAGCTGCTGCTCTGTGATTTGCTGTCTGCATGGCTGGATTCTTCCTCCACAATCCCTGTTTCCAGAGCTGACTTGGTCTGTTTGCTTTTATCCAGAAGTTCTTTCCCAAAAAACGCTTCCTGTAACATATACATGCACCCAATTTAATATTGCACACGCACACCATGTAAATACTAGATTTCCACATTCTCAAGAAAACGTGAGTTGTGTTTGCCTGTGCAAAAAATGGACAAAAATGGGTGGGTTTCTAGGGTGATCTGAGTGGTTAATCCAAGTCTCTATGATATTTTGCTGTCTAGGTATGGCTCAGGTCCATCTTTCAGTGTAAAAGATTTTTTTTTTTGCAGCATTTTCTGATTTTTTTTCTGCTCTAACTGTCAAAAGTTTGCCACAGTGCTACATGGTAAAGCAGGTTTGTAGCACTTCAGAATATCTAACAGTATCAAACTATAAATGTGATGACTCCCTGCTGTGTTAAAACATTAAAGGCCTAATGTGCTGCAATTTAAATAATTGATTCAAGACATTCCTCTGGTGATAACCTTTATGTCTAATTTCAGATTTGACATACAGGAACGCCTAAAGTGACAGCTGTTACAGTTAATGCATCACAGCATCTCCATGCTGAGCATGATGGGATTTTTTTTAAGAGCATGTGTCATCCTTGCACATGCTCACAAAATCCCTGATCACTACATTTAGCTCTTCAGTTCAAACACATTCAGCTCTGGTGTGTAGAAAGGTCCTGACAGGGATGCTTATGTTTATTTAAAGAACTAGCAATTAGAAGACACTTTTATCTAAAGTGACTAATGTAGTTTACTTGTTACAGGTTTATTCCCCTGGAGTGGCTTGTGGTTAAAATAATATCCCAGATTCAATACAAGTTAAGCTCTATTGGAGTGTTCTCGGGTTCTCAAGACAAGCAAAATTTAAGTACAATAGGAAACGCATTCCAAAGAGTTTAAATTGTAAAACCCCCCTTCAACAATAAAACAATAATTAACCCTAAAACCCTAAATATGGGGTAAACAATCAACTACCGTACTATAAAACAATTACCTACAGTCTGAAGTACTGTACTAATTATTATTAGTTTCAGGGGCATTTCCTCTGAGGAAGAAATCAGTGGAGAAACACTTTTACTGGATATTTGTGGGATTGACCTGTAGGTACGAGGGGAAGGCCTCCTCGAGTTTGGTTTTCTTCTTCCTGTATCTCTTCTTGACTTTCTCCAGAGGCTCGCTAACGATGGGAGTCCCATCCACAGGAGTGTCTGGTTCATTCCAACCTGGTGAAAAGATAAACTTGATGCAACAACAAAGAGTATTCACCAAAATAAATACACATCAAAACCTGAGATGTCCAGACCATACCTTCTTCCTTTCCTGTGAAGTTCTCTATAAGTGAGCTTGTGGAGTCTTTCCGACTGAGAGAACGCTTGCCTTTACCCTGCCCTGCTTTGCTCCTCTGACGCACCATAAACCCACCGATACCTAAAGAGGGAAGATGGGGAACCAAAATATAATTTAGCTTAAAATAGTGTCACTTAAAAAAATAAATAATAAAAAAACAGCTGCAGGACCCCTAAACTAGGTGATGAATGCAATCAGGAATAAATAACGTGGGATCCTGACAGTGACGTCTTGACATTCATCTCCATAATTCAAGATGACGTATTAGCTTTGGGCCAGGAGAGGGTGATTCATCTTGGCTACTCTCCTGGAGCAACCATTTCAGGTAAGTCTATTTCTGGTTGTACCACAATGGCTGAGTCTGACCCAACAACCCCCACGGTTTACCGCATGGACACAGAATGAGGAGAGACATTTAGGTTGGTTTATGTACTGTAAACAGTGTAAATACTTCAATGAGAGGATACAAGGATAAGAAAAAAAATCTATAAAATACAAGACTATCCAAATAAAGAGCACTTAAACACTGCTTCTCTAATCTCAAAACATTTTTGTCATTTGTATGTATTCATCCCTTTCCAAAAAATGTGGGGGTTCTTTAAAAAACTAAAATAATGCACATAAGTCTATACTGTATGCATTTATATTAAAAATAAAGAAATGGAAGGTAGTGCTTAAAAAATGAGAGATTACTTTAGAGAGATTACTTCTTTAGTCAGAAAAAAGCTCTAAGAGAATGCTCTTTCTGGAGTACTCCCCAACAAGGAGCTTTAAAGAGCAAAGCACTGTGGGATGCTATTTAAGGTGTAGAATTTGCAGGCGCACTATTTCACAGTCCAGTGGAGCTGTCCTTTCTGATACAGTAAGTGCACCTTTCTCTCTCGCTCTCGCTCTCTCACCAGGTCTGTACGGCTTCCTCTTCCTCTTCTTGTTGCTGTCGCTGCCGTCGGCCCCTTTCAGGTGGTCATCACAGTGCTCATGCTCGGGGCTGGAGTCAGATTTCCCATCACAGTCCATCGGGTTGCCCTCTGCAATGCGGCCAAACAACACAGAGCACTCTAGATGCTGACAGAATATTCTCTAAACCGCACAAAGATACATACACAAGAAACACAGCGTGCACGACTCACTAGACAGTGTGGTTCAGTAGTTGACTTTAACCGCAGAATTCACACACATAATAAAAACAGAACACACACATTTGCGTTCAATGCCATCTGACTTGTATAAAGATGACAAAAACAAAGAAAGGTGTAAAGGCGGGTGAAGGAAAATAACAGCAGAGGATTGTTTTGAAAAAATTCTTGGCACATTCCACAAAAAAAAAAAATTACTTAGTTTTAACAAAGGATGAAAAGAGAAATTTAATCTTCAACAACATTTTCTATTGTTTTTCCACTTCTTTTATATAAAGTTCAGAATTGATGAAGCCCTGTAATTAATGGGGTGTAAATCATGTGAATCATACGTTTAAGTCTTAGAATTCAACTTTTAACGTTAACACAGGAGCTGGAGTTATTCAAGACCTTAAGTTTAAAGTTGTAAATTGCCATTTTATATATGATATCTGGCAGTGAGGGTGTTTTAAACTGTTGGCCTGCTCTCTCAGACTGGCACTACGATGGAGGGGTTGGCCATTAATTCAGTTCGAGCCGCCCAGCCTCTGATCACTGGAAGGCCAAGGCAGGTATAATTTGCTGACTGCTGTTTTCAAAGGCTCTCTTCTCTCTCCAAGTCAAATTCATTACATGGCTCACCTTCTTGTCGATTTCTCTCTCTCTCAAATCACTCCACTCTTGTTTTCTATATGTTCCAACAAATCTAATTCAAATAAAATCCAAATCAAAATATTAACAAAAACAACAATAGGATATCAATGATATTAAAAGAACAACCGTTTGATTCAGAAATGGTCCTTGAAAACAAAATCTAATGGTCTAGTGGTAGTGACTGACAAAATGTTTCTTTCTTCTTCTTCCTTTTTTTTTTTACAGAGCAGGGTGGCCAATATGCACAAAATTCAATTTAAATGTGATGCGTGCAATGTTTTCACGTTAAAACACTTTCTCTCATCATCCCATTTTAATATGTAGAGACAAGAATTTGAGTTTCTTTGAGCACATTAGGACTGACTCGGCCAGTGGTGTGGAAACGTCACCTTTAAGCACAAACACATTCTTTACCTCTACTGTCGCCCAAGTCTCCATCTCTGAAGAGCTCAGGCTGGGGGTCAGGGGGTGTTTGCAGCACGGCCACACTATTCTGATTGATGATTTTCAGCTTAAGTTTGGGTTTGGGTCGTCTGCGGCGGGCGGTCTGGACACATAAACTCTGGAGCTGACACAAGCCTGACTCAGTCAGACACACGCCATCCTGAGTGTAGGTCCGCTGGAATTCTGGCACAGAACAAGAACAGAACACAGCGATGCTGACTGCAAGAGTCCGCCGAAACTGTTGCTCTGATGCTTCAGCAATTTAAGCAAACTACACAGCAAACTGTTGAAGCAAAGTGAAAGTATTTTACAATATTAAAAAAAAAGTATTTATACATACCATTTTCCTTGACATTTGTAAGAATCTGTGCCACTACAGGAGGCTCGATGATGTCCATGAGCTTTGCCACTGTGACACCTGTAACAACACATAAGCAAGATGGAAGCTTGACTTATTTCAAGTTAACACTGCGTATTCACAGTCATTTGTTTAGTTATTTATTGCAAAGAGGACAGTCTGGAGCCATTAAAGGCAGATTACATTAACTGCTGCTTCATTCACATGAACAGGTTGCAGCTTGATTTAAAATTCAGCCCATCTGCTTTTTTTAATGAACCAAATTTTGCTGGAACAAAGTTTCATTGATCAAATCACTCTAGTGTCCATCTGTTACTGAAACAATTGGGCATCAACATGCACATCATACAGAAATCAACAAGAGATAATTCCTCAAGCGTATTCACCTGAGGTTACGATTAGGGCATTTTTGTTCAGCCGTGCAGCAAAAATCAGATTTGTTTTGGCATATCCAAATCAAATCTGTATAGTTCTTTGTAGTTTGAACAAACGGAACGAGGCATGAAATCAATTTACAAACTCAACCCAAACTACAAACACAAGCTGATTAAATGTGATTTCTGAATATGTTTGTGGCTCTTACCAGGCGTGGACATGGTTTGCGTTCTACATAGACAGCAGTCAAAGCCCTCATCTGCTGCGCTCTCCACCTCTTCATCAGAGTTCAGCCCCTGACATGAGGCATGAACCCACCTGCAGACCAAACGTCATGATTAGGCCACATTCGCAACCAGTCAGCCATTAAGAATAAGTCACAAAGAAAGCAAATATCACATGCTCAACATGATGAATATTTTCCCCCATCAACACCTGCGTTTATTCATGCACTAATCTACTGCTGAGCCATTTCCCAGGATACTCTTTTATTTGGCCGTTATGGCATTTGGCATGATGGAGTGCCACCCACCTGTCACACTGCCGGCACTGCAGGATGAGCTCTTCCTCTCTGTAGCTGCGCATACACACAGGACATACCGTGAGACTCGCACACGGACCGCATTGCGTGTAGTTATTCTGCCACTCACAGCGCTGGCCAGACGATGTAGCTCCACAATGAGTACATAATACACACCTGATGGAGAACAATGCAGTTACCGATATAAAATACATGAGCAAATCACGATTTCCCAGAAACATACACTTTTAATCATAAACAACTAAATCCATTCTTTTACACTCATTTTGTGGCCTTTCTGTGAATGGACACGCCTCTTGTTTGCACATGGCTTAGCATCGACTGTGCTGCCTTAAAAATAAATATTTAAAAGGCTCCAATCCAGGTAAAGCTCTGACTGAATGCGCCACAATGCACTGCAAACCCAGCTCTGTTTGAATGAGGATTACATGTGACATTACAGCAAATATGTAGGAAATCCCTTTCGATCTTGTTTGAAAACAGCTGCTAAAGATCAAGCGAGTGTTAGATGGGTAGAGAGAGAGAAAGCTAACAAAGCTAACAAAGAGGTGCTAAAGCATTGAGAGTGGGTGTGAGATTTAAATGGATGAAATTGAGAGAGAATGTCACAGACTCGTGAATCCACAGCACCTGTAAAGAAAATGTCCAGGTTATATTTCACTCCGAAATCAAGAGAAAGAAATAAGAACTATATTTTGCATAAAGAAACTGAAGGGATCATTAGGATAATTAAAATTTAGCATAATGATGTTCTGAAACATTTTAAGGACAATTACATACAATTTCCTCACAAATAAGTCCACATGACTAATGCACTATATTACAAGTGTTCTGAAGCCATATTACAGCTTTCTCTGAGAAACAGTCAAAAATTCACCTCATTATTTATGAACAATGTTCCTTTCCACAGTAGCTCTCAAATATGGAGCTAAAATAGTCTTAAAATTAATATATTTACTAAATATGATTCACAAATGCAAAAGCTAATTGAATGCAAAAGCAAATTTGCGTAACTTAGGGTGCTTTCACACTTGGTTCGCTTGACTGGTTTGAACCCGAGTTCTATTGCTCCCCCCTCCCCCTGCTGGACTGCGTTCATATTATTTTATTTGGGTCCGAACCACGGTTCGTTTGCGTCATCAAGCCAGCAGCTGTTTACCCCGTTGCTTAGTAACGACGGTGCAGGAGAAGGCGGCAAATGCATAACATTGCTCTCTGCACTTTTATATATTTACGTTTTTGAACCGTTCGTTTTGTTTACAAAGCTTCGGTACATAACGGCACTTACGTCTGTTTTACGAATGTACTGCAAATGCTCTAAAGAACGCTAAAGGTGAACAGAAACGTGCAGCGCCTCGGTCACGCTCGTCAGGTAAGTGAGTAAAACACACACAAACACACATTTTTAACAAATAATACGTCATTAATAGCGGTTCACTTCCGCGATTTGGTATGACTGCGTTCACATCAGCAGCGAACCGTACCGGAGTTCACATGAACTGTACCTCAGACCACCCTTTTTAAGCAGACTCGGGTACGGTTCTCGGGTGTGCACCCGAGTTCGGAAGACAGTGTTCACATCATCCAAACGAACCGAACTCTGACATCAATTGAACCCGGGTGTGCACCAAAAGTGCTAGTGTGAAAGCACCCTTATTTGCAAACTATACTAGTGCTGTCAAATTGATTAATCACAATTATTCGCATCCAAAATAAAAGTTTGTGTTTACATAATATATGTGCGTGTACTGTGCATATTTATATATATATATATATATATATATATATATATACACATACACACACTATTTTATATAAAATGAAAATGATAAATATATTTCATATTGTATATTCAACTTTTATATAATATTTTATGTTATATATTAAAACAATAAATATTTTGAGTTTGGATACACTCATAGATTTTCATGTGCCTATGTTAAGACTGTTTAAGATGTTTTTTTCAATCAAAGCATTTGTGAATCATTATTCATTTTGAGGCTATTGTAGCTCCATAGAAAAATTTCACTCCCCAACCTGCATATTCTAAACTGACAGGTCACTTTCAGTTACAATACAAACAAGAAAACAATGTGTTAATTTATGCAATTAATATGGGCTTGCAAGTACTCTTGATGGTTCAAAAAAATGACAACGATGAAGACAGAGCTATGAAAGCAACAAACTGGGCTGCAGTCCAAAGCTGTATCTAATTTTAGCAAAGACTTCTGTTTGTGTGTGTGTGTACATACCACTTGCACTTCCAGCTGCCTTTGGGTACATTCTGCAGTGGTGGGTCCAGACAGTATGTGTGGTAGCTAATGTCACAGTCATCACAGAGCAGCAAGCGCCCGGGGTCATTGGCCTTCCCACATGCCTCACACACTGTGCACTCCAGACAGCGCCAGCCTTTACTCAACACCACTTTTGTGATCTAAAACAGACACACACACACACACACACACTTGAGGTCAGAGGACACAGGTCAAGCACTAAAGGACAATGGAGGGTTATATATTTAGCAGGCTATAATCTGGATGGATATAAAAACACAAAGAACACAGCCGTAAGATGTCTCTAGAGTCAGAGTTATTTGTCAGAAGGATTTGCTGGCATTTACAGATCAAATGATGTGGGTGGTGATAAATCAATCTAACCACATCATCCTGTACTAACAAGCATGTCCAGTACGCCTGCTGTTCACTAGCAACTCTGGGTTTGTACTCTACTGGGGAAAGGGACCATTTGATGCATATAATGAAGGAAAACTTCATATGCTTGACATGACAACTTGATAACCTATTTAAACATGCAAAGTTTAAGTTAACAATAGTTCATATAAAATTTAAAAATTAAAATGAAATAAAATATAAATTTATGAAATTTCTGAAAGATTTGAGAGATTTCTGTGCCTCTGTTAAAAGTCCACAAAACCAACACTTGGAACTTCAAAATAATCCATATGAATCGAGCAGTTTAATTCAAGTGTTCTGAAGAGACACAATCACTTTACATGATGAACACATTTATTTTAGGCTTTTATTCACATTGATCAACACACATACATAGAGCATATTAAAATTAAAAGCTCAACTGTACTTGCTTGACGCATGAGAACCAATGAGGTTTTGTATGGTTGAGCTGACGTTAACCTAAATTAAAACTGTTTATCATATAAAGCAATCACATCTGTTCAGAAAACTCTGAATAAACCACTAAATTCAACTGGATTGCTTCTTCCATATCTTAACAAAAGTTTTGAATCTCGTTAAGTCATAAAAAAATTAAAAAATTAATTATATATATATATATATATATATATATATATATATATACATACAGTGGTGTGAACTTTTTCTCTGCTGCAGCTCAGAGTAAAATTCTTCATCCACTTTCATTGTATGAAAACAGTAGCATTTTTCCTTTTGTGTTAAATGGAAAAAAGAAAGTCAAATGAGTAAATAGCAGCATTTTCATCAATTATCTTTAAATAAATGTCATTGTTCGGTTATCTAGGATAAGAGCAATTATCTTCAGCAGCTGTGATTGTTAATAGTCAGCTGTTTGCACAGACCAACTGGATGATTGAATGAGAGGAAGACAGCTCTTTCACAGGTGCTTGGCTTAGACATCAGAATGCATGACACCTGGCCATGACATTTGCCTGTTTGATACTAAAAAAAACTCATTCTGATGGGACAAGATGTTGTAAAATAGCTGATAAATGTGCACATGTGAATATCCATCAGCTAAATTCTATTCTAATGTACTAAGCTGAAATAAAACAAGGAAGAACTGTATGTTGCTTGGCAACCTTAAACAGCCTGCAGATAAGCTAATGAACTACATTATGGATTCCCAACAAGGGGTACATGTTCCCTCAGGTGGTACTTGCAGATTCCAGGGGGTAAAAAAAAAGCAAAAAACAAATTGCTATTTAAAATAAAATAACAGGGCTCTCAAAAATAATAAATAATAATTTAATCTCATGACTTTTTTGGTAGGGAAGATCTTAACACATTTAGTTCACTTTTTAAGGAAATTAAATATAATAAGAGTTTTAAGGAACACATTTTTGGTTTGGTTTTGATGAAGGGGTACTTACTGATGGAGTTTGCAGGGGTAAATAAGACAATAAATATCAGGATACACAAAACTATATTACTGTGGTTATTATTAATAATAATACATTTATAGAAGTCTAGTGTTCTTATCATATTGCTGGTGCTGCCATTTTAAACACTTAATAAGCCACTCTCCACGACTAACAATCACTTTAATGCACCACCGCCACTTGAGGTTTATTACTTTAATTGTTCTTAATCAGGCTCACACTGAATCGCCGTGCACAGAACTCCACAGTAATCTCAGCAGATTTCTGAATCTGCACTGGGAATATGGGGGGGGGGATCAGTAGAATCCATCTGGGCCTCTTATATTAAATGAAGATCAGGACGTTTCTGGCATATCTCAAAGCACTGAGAGATACCGAAAGCACCCTGACGTATTCTTCTGTCACTGCTGTCTTTACGTGATAAAGATCTCTGCTTTAGTCTATCAACATAAGACACGGTCTTTAAAGTCTGCTTCATAATCCTCTTAACATTTTACTCATTACCCTTGGGCTGCTTTCATCCAGGTCCTCTCACACACTGACCTGTCACACTTATCTCACACACCATTAACCTTCACTCCAGATAAGAGCAGCTCATAAATGGTGCTGAACTGTGCTGGTGAACGGGGTCAGCTGTGATAGATGGGGGGGGGCTGTCTTACCTTAATATTGACGCAGAAGGGGTGGTAGCACTGGCCGCACTGGGAGCAGGCTAGCAGTCTGCCCTCAGCACCCTGACCAAAGCTCCCACACACCACACACATGTCCTGGAGACACAAGAGAGATCAGACATCCACCTGTGAAGTTAATTCTCACACCCATGCTTATATAAAGATCAACTAAGGCACATATTTTTAAGAGCAGGATCAAGTGTCAAGTGTTTTCACTGTGTTAACTGAACTACATATGTGCAGCCTTAGTGCATGTTGATGATGTTGCAGTGTGCAAATACATTTTGAGGCTACTGTATGTGACAAAAAACACGAAACCACTAAGCGAAAAAGCAAAAATGTTTCCTTTTGCCTTAAGTTCACTTCTATTTTGACTTTAAACTCATAGACTTACTTGTTTAAGTGTGAAGGAGTCAGAGGTGGAGAACAGGACTACAGTGTTGTGCATGGAGTTTTCCTCCTCTTCTTTTACCACATATGGAGAATCCATTAAGCTCACCTGTAACAGAGCACATGACATCGGTTTACATTTGCTCAGGTCACATCCAGCTGTTTGTAACATATTACTATACTGTGCCTAATGACATCATGGTTGTTTCTGGAAAAAAATTCAATGTAATCATGCAACCGAAAAGGTTAGCATTAAAAACAGCTATGGACAATATATACTCAATTAATTGATATAATTTGATATAATTGGTAATTAATTTACATGGAACCCAAATCCCAAAACAGACTATAAACTTGCTTGCATTATCTGGATTTAGCTAGGCTATTACAGTAGTACAGTTTTTATGCCTGCACTAGATTTTTTTTCCCCAACTAATGCATACATTGGGCCCAGCTTGTCTTAAAGGGAAAATTCTGTCATCAATTACTTATTATCATCAATTAATTATTATCATGTCCAAACCCATTAGACTTTTTCTTTTTTTTTTTTCCAAAACTTTAGAGATTTCTTTTCACACATAGACATTTTCAACAGTATACACATCAAATATGGTAAATGGAAGTTAAAACGTACTTGCTTGAAGTGTGAGTACAAACCTCACTGCTTCTTGCAGGAGCTCATACATGTTTGCATAACAAGCAAACCTCACTGGTCCTTGTGCATCAAGCAAGTACAGTTGAGCTGCAATTGACCATATTTGATGTGTTCCATGTATGTGTGTTGATTAATGTTTTGATTCATTGGGATTACTTTTACAATGTCTTTATTAACTATTTGAATCTTTGGTGAAAATGGACAGACATCTCTCAGGTTTATACAGAAATATCTTTGTGTTTTAAAGATGAATAAAAGTGTTATGGGTTTGGAACAACATGAGGGTGAGTGATTGATGACAATTTTCATTTTTGGGTGATCTATCCCTTTAAGTTTGCAATGCACCATAAAAATAGCAGTGCTGTTAATTAAAAAAAGTAAAAACAGTTTGCAGTACTGGTTCCACAATGCAGGGTCACGTTTCTTACATGTGCAATGTGAATGTTGTATTTATATTATATTATTATTCATTATCTGTTAACAGATAACATCTAGATGAAAAAATATGCAAAATGTATTCAACTTATAGATGAGGAGAAAAGTAACGCTGCTTTGTTTAGTTGGTGTAATGGGCTTCATAGGAATGGACCGTTTAAATTTAGAGGCTTGTCATGGTAAAAATTCACAGGCCTTTACGTCACAATTTAGTGTGCCATTGGTTTGTAATGAGACTGGCTGACAAAGTAAAGATGTTCATTGTGTGTGTAAACTACAGGACGGCTGCTGAGTACAAAATTGCCTATTTTATCATACTGGCAGTCAAGTACATGCTGGCTTAATCTCCCTCATCACAAGTCGCTTGTGTTGGGGAAAATGTCAGCATTTGCTATTTTGAAAAGGCCATTTGGGCTGGGAACTGCTGCTGAAGCTCTGCTGAGCGTGAGTGCATTTCTCAGGCTTTAATGTGAGCATTAGGCACATCTGAGTGCTGTTTTATTTATGCTTGTAGAGGTGGGGGCTTCATACCCCAGGGGTCACCACTGGGCTGCTCTCCATCTTTAGCCTGGAGCGTCCCCTGCCACCTCTCCCAGAGAGGTTAGCTCCCCTGGGTCGCCGCCTTCCAGGAAAGCCAGATCCACGACCCTAGCAGACAAAGACAGGGGAGAAAGGATATAATTTCATTTCTTTGAAGGCACACTTTGGGAAAATTGAGTGTGATGTATAGCACTAATGGGCGAATACACCATGCACTCCATAAACCAGCATGGGAATGTCATGATGACTTTAATGTGCTTTATATCTGGCCATTAATTTTTCTACAGACTCATTGTATTGTAATAGCATCACTGATTTAAAACTCACTAAAAATGGTAAAAGAGCTGATTTCACTGAAAATGCTTTTGCTGTTTAGGAGAAATAATTTCCAGAACCCACCTATAACCTAGCTTGACATGGTGGAAAACTTTCTGGAAGGCACCAAACCCGTTGCATCTGTGTTTGTGATACAAAATCATCCATCCATCCCAAGATCTGATCCTCTGAGGTTCAGCCCAACTCCCTGAACACTACACTGACTTACAGATCACATTTCAGGCCAGGCTTCTGCCAACTCGCCCTGCTTCTGAAGGTGTCACATTGCGTTTGCATCGAGGCTGAAGCTCTGGCCCAATTCCCACTTCCTCCCAGGTAATTACCTCACTGTAGCCAAGCACTACTCAGACAGGAGATGTCAGCTTCATTTAGAGATTGCCTAAGGAAGCTTGGCATACTCCGTCGCCTTTACAGTCTGAGTCTAATTTGTGCAGAAATTAATTATGGAGAGGGAAAAAATAGACGAGGGTTAAGGAAGGCACTTCTCTAAATCTGCTCGAGTGCAGCCACAGAGAAGAACAGCAATTCTGATGAGATACTGCTGCAATGGAAAGAATGCAACTCTGGTGTCTCATGCACATGTATGTGTAGAGATGTGCAGGGTTTGTTATATGAACATGCTGCTATCATATGAAACATTTATTATATTAATGTACAATGTGAACATGGAAATGTGCAATGGATAATAACATAAAACAGTAAATCAAAGAATTAACCTTTGCAATATGATGCATTTCAGAGTTAAACTGAATATTTAGTAATCAATAATGAGGGATGAGGCTTGATTTTGTCTATCAGGATTTCAGTGAATCATGAGGGGGATTAAACATTATTATATCACTGGTTAATATTGTTTACCTGGATGCATGACCTTGTTTATATGAGCATATGATTATGACATTATGAAAACTTGAAATTTTTTCAAGTAAAAGGCACGGATGAATCATGACCGGGGACATTTATAGTCAATTGCGTACATTATTTCAACCCTCATTTCAAATGCTCTCATAGTTTTTTAGAATCTCATGCCATGAGTGTTATGTTTTTAAGACAGCATGTCAGGTTAAAAATAGTTACATCATTAAAAATGTTTCTTTTGTTTTTGAAAACAAGAATGTGTCCTGTATGAAAGGCCCATTCACAGATATCTTGATATTTTTAGTTGGGATTGCCCAGAGGCTATATTGTTGGTTGTAGTGGCCGTTTCTACTGTTGAATAACCACTAAATGAACTACTAAACCAATCTGCCACTAAAAATGAATGTGCTTGAAAAAGTGTTTGTATAAAAATGTCAGAAGCATGACACATTATATCATGAACTAGATGAATAACATAATATCAAGGCCTGAATACTACACTAGTAACAAAATTAAGTTTTTGAGCAACAACAACCACAGAGCCATCTAGGGTATACTCACCCATGATTCCTGCACCATTTTTGAGCTTACTTTCTAGACTAAACCAGCTGATGCTTTATCACCCACACCCACCTTAAAAACTCAGTCCCCTGCAGGGCTCAAACCCTTCAACACCCTCCCCTCATTTACCAATCTCATGGTCCAGATGGGCAGCCCGTACATCGGCCTGGTCTTAGGGCTGTCCCAGGCGTCCGAGCGCTCTGGAGACCAGGAGGGCGAGCTCATTGCGCTACGGTTACTCCATGCACCCTGAGGTAAAGCGGCGGAGAAGAGACGGAGGGGGGAGGGTATATTGGTGATGAGGGGCGACAAAATGCAGCAAAATAAATGTGAAAGCCAGCAACAAGAACACAGCAAGTCAAATGAATGCAATACTTCTACACAAATGCATCATATCAAGCCAATACAGTGAAATATTAAGTTTGGGACAAATTCCTGAAACATGACAGTGACATTACATAATTATTTGTTGTGTCTTAAGAAAAGCAGTTGTTAGTATTTGCTTTGAGTGAGTTTCAATTTGTAGGGAAGTCTGCTAAATTACCTTACAAACCTTACATTACAAAGAAAAAATTTGAGGATCCTCATTCTAAAGCATCATTACACCTCCATGGAAACAACCTAGTTTATTTGTTTGTACAAAACAAGCGTGATCGTGTCAGCATGACAACAAGCAGCTCTTTGAGATAAACAGAGAATTTCATAAAGCACAAAGAGTCATGGGGAGCATTTAGCCTGTTTAACGAGCTAATGAGGGTTAGTCAGTATAATTACAATGCATAACACAATCACCGCAAGGCCTTTTTTTTTGTTTTACAAAATGAAAATTATTTCTAAATTATAAATAATAAATAACAGCCACGGGTTGGTTGTTGTTTTATTTCCTGTCATGTATCATTTTGTCCCAAACTACTACTTGAAATGAATGTCTGAGCTCCAATACAACTTAATGTCTATGTGATATGCTGTTGATTACCAGTCACAATAATATTGTCTCACAATATTGCAAAAATCTAAATATGAACTTTTTTAGCTTTAAAAAAAACTGGGCAATGCAGACACTGCATACCATTTCCATCACAATTTTTTATCTAACATTATTTTCTGTGGTAATCAACAGATTCTTGATGTGAATTGGGCACAACTTGTATTGAACTCAGAACATTGCTTCCTAATAAAACAAAAGTACTTAATGAAACAAATGACCATTCCTTAGGCACAAGACCCAATAATTGTTATCAAGGATTAAAAAGAAGAAAGGAAAAGAAAAGAATAGCTCTGCTGAAACAAGGGTTAAAGAATGAGTGGAGGGAGGCAACTGAGAAACAAACAAATATCTCATCATGCCAACATGCCTGTGAATAAAGACATCAAAAATAAATAAATAAAATAATACAATCTGACAAAGTAAAAAAAAATCATTGTGTTGATATTGGTGATTGCTTATTGACAGCCATGCAATGTTAGTTCGGATAAGAGTATGTTGAGGAAGAAGCATCTCTTTGTATTGAATTTCCAGCTCTGAGGCTTTCAAAATGGACAAATATGGTACAAATGTAAAATAAATGGAGAGGTGAACACTTTTAGCTTATTGGGTAGGCATCCAAGAGACACTTTAACAAGAGATACATATATCCAAATGAAAACTCAAGCTAATCCCTATAAGACTCTGAAACTTCTACAAAATTTAGAGCGTAAAGCATGCCTGATCGTCTCTGAAGAGAGTCAGCAGGAGTTACTTCATTTGCACAACAAAACAAAATCTATTTCTCTCTCATACGCACACACACGATAACACAGGGGCGTGCACATACTCATGAACGCACTAATACACCAAACCGGAAATCTCAGTTCGAGCCAATGAGAGCTGCCCACCCTTCAAATTACACTGTGTCCAGATGGTGCACACTCCAGACAGAAAAACAACCAGAGCCATAGAAACTAACATACCTGTATATACTTATACATACATGCATATATATATATATATATACATATATACAGGTGCATCTCAATAAATTAGAATGTCGTGGAAAAGTTAGTTTATTTCAGTAATTCAACTCAAATTGTGAAACTCGTGTATTAAATAAATTCAATGCACACAGACTGAAGTAGTGGGAAAAAAAACTATCTTCTCCATCTCTCTACATAAAAATTACCATGTATATTAATTTTCATCCATGCACTCACCTCTTCCAAAGGATGGTACACTTCATAGTCATACTGGAATTCTGATCTACGTGTCCTGGAGGACCGGTATCCGATCTGTTTCTCAATTTCGATTTGGAGATTGGAAATGAGCACCCTGTGGAGACGGTCATGGAAGAAATGTTGAAAGCATATGCACTATGTATTTAACCTTTTGAATACATTTCTGTATTACATTAATACATTTCATAAATACATTTCTGGATCCTTCAGCACATCAAAGTCTGAAGAATTTGGTATATACAGTATATATATATATATATACACACACACACATGTGTGTATGCATTATATATATATATATATATACATACACAGTATATACACACACATACACTCTTCTTCTATATTAGTCTTTGTTACAAACCTAGATTGTATAAAGAGCAAAAAGAGAATCAGTTTTAGCCAATCTGAGAACTAGCTAATCAGAAACGCTCTCTGCATGTGAATCATTTTGTTAGGTCTTGCTGACACTGAGTTTACTGACATACTTTCGGAGGGCTGTGTTTTAAAGACAGGATGTGTAGTGTAGGTTAGCAAAATGATGAAAGTTAGAAAAACAGCTTGCTTACAGCACCTTTAAAGGGATAGTTTACCCAAAAATAAAAATGTGGTCATCATTTACTAACCATCATGTTGTTCCTAACTGACAAGACTTTCGCTCATCTTTGGGAAACACAATATAACATAAGATATTTTTTTAATATCCATATGGATCAAGTGGTTTAATCCACTTTTTTTTTTATATGAAAACTATTTATATGATATATTATATTATATTTACTATTTATATGAAAAACGGATTTAAAGGGTTAGTTCACCCAAAAATAAAATTTCTGTCATTAATTACTTACCCTCATGTCGTTCTAAACCCGTAAGACCTCAGTTCATCTTCGGAACAGAAATTAAGATATAGTGACTTCAGGGGTTCAACTGTAATTTTACGAAGCTACGAGAATATGTTTTGTACGCAAAGAAAACAAAAATAATGACTTTATTCAACAATCTGTCTCCTCTGCGTCACCCTGGTGACATTTTGGAGAGTATCCACTGAACGTAAACAGTGTATGCTATTCTGTGTCAGCTGTGTCACACGGATACGTTTTCTACATTGTTTACGCTTTGATTTGAACGAAATCAATGAGACAAATTGTTGAATAAAGTCTTTATTTTTGTTTTCTTTGCGTACAAAAAGTATTCCCGTAGCTTCGTAAAATTACGGTTGAACCCCTAATGTCACATGGATTATTTTACCGATCTCCTTGCTACGTTTCTGGACCTTGATCGTGGTAATTACATTGCTGTCTATGGGAGGGTCAGAGAGCTCTCAAAATTCATCAAAAATATCTTAATTTGTGTTCCGAAGATGAACGGAGGTCTTATGGGTTTAGAACGACATGAGGGTGAGTAATTAATGACAGAATTTTCATTTTTGGGTGAACTAACCCTTTAATTTAGGCTTTCGTTAGCATACTATATACACAGAACAACAAATAAATAGAGCTCAAACATGGTAAACATGAAAACTCAAACTAGCAAGACGTACGAGAAACAAACCTCATTGGTTCTTGCGGAAACACAAACATACTAGTTTCAGCCACAACAAATGAAGATGCGAGAAAAAAAGTCAAGCAAGCACGACTGATATTCCGTTTACCATATTTGGCATGGTCTATGAATGTGTGTCAAAGTGCCTAAACTGAATCTGCTCATCACATAAAGAGATAGAAGAACTTGGAGTAAACTGCTTAAATTCTATGTCTTTATGAACCCTTTGAGACATCAAAGTTGTGGTTGCATGGATTTTCATATAGAGGGAGAGAAATCCTTCTTCATTAAAAAATAAATATTTAATTAAAAGTATATTTATTTGTGTTTAGAAGATGAATGAAAGTTTTAAGGGTTTGGAACGACATGAGGGTAAGTAACTGATGACATAATTCTCATTTTTGGGTGGACTAACTCTTATGTACAATAGCTTGGCTCTTATGTACATACCTGCATTTGCATATTCACATAGACTATAAATCGGGCATAAGCCCTGCTGGGAGCTGCAGCATGATCTGCCAATCAGATCAATGATGATGAAAGAATTCCCAAACTGAGATGCCAAGGTGAGCACCAGTGAGACAGGAAAGAACACACTAATCTTTGTTTCGAAGAATGCTTAGATTAATTGTACTTTGAAGTTTACTCTACTGGGCACAAAGACACCGCAATGCCAGGATTAATTTAGATTTATGACAAGTTAGAAGGCCCTAAAAAGGAGTTTTCAGCATCCTCCCTGCTCCAGAACTCAAAGGGGAAATGGGTTTGTGTTGTGCTTTCCAGCTCAGTGAGCAGTTATCCGAATTACACACCTCCAAAAAGACTCCTTTATGTTTCACTAGCATAAACCCCTGGCTCTGGAGCCAACTCCCAGCCCCCTCTCTCCCGGGATACTGTGAGTGATGTATTTGAGAAGGGCAGTGGGGGGAATGGGGGGACTTGGAGGCAGGAGAGAGAGCGGGAAAAAGAATGAGCGAGTGAAGCAGAGACTGAGCCAGAGAGAGCACAGTAAGAGCCTTTCCATGTTAATTAATACACGCTACGCTCTGGCACTAATCAATGTGACGAAGAAACAAGGAGAGCAAAGGAGTAATTACTGTGTGGCTAAAAACTGTGGATCACAGACAGAATCAGTGTCCTAAAGAGATAGAGGGAAAACCAGGAGCCAAGCAGCAAGAAAGGAAGGCCAAAAACCAAGAGTTTTACCTGCTTTACCCTTGGTCTTCCTGGAGAGAACTTCCTCTTTGAGATGGCTGGCTTCCCTATACCTATCTTGGGCGTAAGGGGAAAGAAGTTGGTGTTGAAAACACTGGGGCTGTATCCTGATGAATTCAGGCCATGGGTAGGTGTCTGGTTTTGAGATGTCTCCCTCGGCGAGGCTTCAGTGGAAAATGGGGACTGGGTCAACTTGGTTGAGCCCTCGGAGGACAATCCTGGGGAATGCTTCAAGATGAGGCTCTTATCCTCAATGGGAGAGCTGAAACTGGAGAAACTGTGGTCGCTGACAGGTGTAGTGTCCATTTCCACAGTAGGACTGCACTCTGCAACCAGTGGGACACCATCCGGCTCAGGTAAAATACAAGTGACCTCAGGATCTGCCACCTTCTCTCCGTGCTGTTGTTTTTCTTGCTTCTGTCCCTGCTCAACTTCCTCAACAACACTCTGGGCTTCTGGGACATTCGTCATCCTTTTATCCTTCATACTGGAGGGGTCTGAGGGACAGGCATCCATGGGTTCTTCCTCTTGTGCTCGAGAGTGTTTGGGGGAAGTTTCTTTGGTAGGCAAAGCAGGAAGAGCTTTTGAAACGTCCGCTTCAGGTTCATCCTCTGTAGTATCAGACAGTTTATCCTCTGTTTCCTTCCCCATTTCCAAAGCACCAATGAAACTGTGCTCCTGGTTATGGTCTTCATTTGTGGAAGAGGCCTGAAAGGAGAGGGAGGGTACACCCACTAAAGTGGAGGCGCATGGAGGAGGCTCGGAACCCTCTGTCAGAGTAACAGTAACCTGGATCTCCTGGGCAGGTTCAGCAGCTGTGCCAAAAAAAAAAACTTCTAAGGCATTTGTGGCTAAAAAACACATTACTACAAATCATTATGCACACGTTATGGACAAGATTATCTGACTAAAAGAAAAACTTACATGACAGGAACTCTTCTGGCACTGTAGGAAGTGGACTAATACTGGCCTCTGGCTCCAACGCCACTTCCTCCTCATCCTCATTTACTTCCTCAACAGCCATGAAGACATCTGGATAGGAAAGATAAATGTTGAGTTGCACAAGGAAACAACTGACTAACTATTTACTATTCTGAACATCTACAAGGATCAATGAAATGACATTCATTTTTTTCAAAAATACTTTATAAAGGCAATTCATACTTAAAGTAACACGATATATACATGCTATTTTAATAATATTTTCTTTGAAAAAATTAACAATGTGTACATTCACATGTATTCAAGGCGTAAGGAAAACATTATCATTTTTTACACCAATGACATTTTTTGTTGAAAATTGTCTTTATCTTGGATACTATTGTCATTGACAATTGCTTGTGTTTGCTTGTCAGAACTCCAATTATCTTTGCTCAAACTGCATCACAACATGCACCAAAAAGTCTGACACACAGAACACTTGACCACCAGTTGGTAAACTCCTCGAAATAATGAAACAGCAGGTAGCCTAGAATCTTTATCTCCATGCATATATATATATACTTTTTTGAGACTTTTATGTGACTTATGCCACAGAGCAGCACTGCTAACTTATTACATGTTCAACTGTCCTGATGCAACCTGGGGTTTAGTGTATTACTCAAAGGGCACAACAATGATTGGTTATGTCCTGCCCTTACTGCCCTTTACAGAGATCAAACCAGAAACCATTTAGATACCATTCATATCCGGAGGTTCCTTCAACAACTTAATCACAACAAAAATCAGGCATCTGGACAAATGTTCAGACAGAACATGAAAATTACAGTTACAGTATACTCAAAAAGTGACCACTCACACTATCAATCAGATGAGATGCAAATGATTAGAACTGCTTTGGTTTGACAGAACAACCATTTTTCAATCCTAAATCACAACTAAATGCATAATTTATCATTCGGTGGCAATCAAAATAGTGTGATTGCTCAGAGAATTAAAAGAGCAACTAAAAAAAAAAAAGACATCTTATTTTCTACTATTAATAATCGGCATTTTCTATATCTATCTTACATATCGAATTCAACAGTGCTCTATTTTCCCCCTCCTCTACCATACATTTACGCTTCCCTCACTCTGAACAGGGAACAGGAATACTTCAGCTGCCACTGCAGCCCATCGTGCCAGTCATCACCATGACAACATATTTATGAGCCCTGCTCTTGTAAGACACTGCTGAGATTGTCTCTTACAGGGCACACAGAAATGAATAAACAAACACGAGCCATGCTCTGCACTCTTTATTAATCACTCATACACAAGAATCCAGAATAACTGTAAGAGCAAAAAACAAAGTGTTCTAACGCCTACATGTGCAGGATTTCAAACTTGAAAATATACATTCCCACAACAACGAACAAAATTGATAAGCTGTAGGTTGAATGAATGAGAACCCACTAAAACAAAACCATAACTATGTTTTGTTTTTTGATGTATTTAGAGGATTCCAACAACAACAGAAAAAAAAACAGATCATGGGACACTGTTGCTTAGCCGATGAGAAGACTTATATAACTAATGTAATAATATGTTCCTGTGGCTCAGTGGTAGAGCATTGCGTTAGCAATACAAAAGGTCGTGGGTTCAATTCCCAGGGAACACACATACTGGTAAAAAAAAATGTATAGCTTGAATGCGCACTGTAAGTCGCAAAGGGTCTGCTAAATGTATAAATTATTATTATTATAATGTCACAGACATGACAATTTCTGAATAATTTTTGTAGTTTAGTTTCAATTAATTGCCTGGGAAGAAGCTTAAAGTGAATGATATAGTATTTTATTACATAGCATATCAAACTACCTTGTTTTAAAACAGCAAGAAAATCCTATTTTGTATGACCACCTTGCGTTGGCAATGTAAACCCTTAATCTGAATCTAATCTGGGGTGTAAGAAACAGTGTAGAGCCATCAAAGACTCAGGACAGAGCAGCCATCATTCAGAGTGCTAAAGAGAAGTGAGGTTGGTTGCGGTGTCCTGATAACGTCTCCACACTTACAATCCACTAGCAGCACAGGGAAGATGAAAGCCTCATTGGTTTAGAGCTCCTAGCTATTTTTAACCCAGGCGGACAAGTCACAGTCTAGAGAATGTCTTCTCCTCCCCCAGACTACACAACCTACACCTAACAATCTACATACCTGCATAAATACATCCCCTTGTGTCTCCTGCAGTTAAAAGACTTTACAAAATGAAGGACATCAGATATGTTGAGCTTGATAATTGTGATAGGGTGTTTCGGTGACATAAGTCCAATCACTTAGAAAATTGCACACCTGAAAAGACTTTTCCTCAACAAGCCACACAATTTGATGTGTCTGGACTTATCAACTCTGGCCCTCGAGGCCAACTTTCCTGAAGAGTTTAGTTCCAACCCTATTCAAACACACCTGAACAAGGTTGGAGCTAAACTCTGCAGGAAAGCGGACCTCGATGGCCAGAATTGAGAACCCCTGTAACTATACACAGTACGTACTGCACAAATATGCAGGATCATTTACGCACTAAAATTTAATAGTTAAAATGATGGGTTTGATGATCTACAAATAAGCAGGAACAATAGAACTGGTGTGCTTGTCTTAAATCAAACAGTTGTACTGTTGAATTATATAAATGTATTAACTGTGTTCACTGGTAAGATGATAATATTATTACAATATTCACATAAATAAATAACGTTTTAAGTTAAATTAATCTTTAATTTGGTATATTTTTGTGTTTTATAATTTTTCTCACACTTAAAATACGGAGGGTGGAGGAGAGAAAATGTCAGCCCTTCCTGCAGACTGGGGTGTCTAACCCATCATCTTTTTTTACAGAATCCAAAAAGCTCCCACATTGGCGAGCTAATATTTCTCAGGTGCAGGTAGAGTGTCATACCTTCATCTGTCACTTTATCTCAGACATGATTTTGTACAGCAGTAGTAGCTGCACACTGCATCGTCATTGTCTTCTTTTTTATCCATTTTATGACAGGTGTCAACCAGCGTTGAGGTGAACTACTGCCACTTACTACATTGGACTGTCATCCAGATAGTTACAGGAGTTGGATTATTTACAATATTATCATATATGTTATAATAACATGATATCGATATTCCATTTTTTGAATAGTGTGACAACCTTAAAACAACATATAAAAGCAGTGTTTTAAAGGCTGTTCTGTTCTGTTTTGCCACTGGGAGAAGACAAGAGTTCAAGAATAGTTGAGCTGCCCAGTAGAGGCAGCATGTAAAGAGGCCTCGGGGTACCTCAGTGGACATCTAGGATTCAAACAAGAGGAAAGGCCGCTGAGGTCATGAGGCATTGATGTGCAATGACTGCAGTCCGACTGGACAGACAAGGAAGAAGAGGAGCTCAAAACAAGATACTGACACATTCCTACTCCAGAGAGCAGAGCAAGTATGCTCTCTGGCTGATTCTGCACACTGATGCTGGGTTTCAAATATCTATTATTGCTGATCGGGTGCACCTCAGGGTTTGCAAACTCCCATAAGTCCTCGCACTGACTTCACTCATCAATACTCACCTGACAGTGTCAACTGGCAGCGTTGCACACTGCCTGGGAGCAAAGCAGATGAACATAAAGGATTTACTATTCCCAGTGTGGGTATGACATCAGACAGGCTCTAGCCTCCAGCCTAACAGATTAACACTTCATAACATCATGACAGAAGCAGATCTCAAAGCAGCTATGCAGCAGCTACAATCAGCAATCTGTGCACCAGCTCAGGTGATTGTGTTGTTTGTGCACTGGGTCATGTGAGTAAGAGTGACTGTGGTTCTTTTCAGCCGTGTCAGGATGAATCACTGATGGCATCACACATCCATGGCAACAAAAAAAACCTTTAGATTGGTGGATGAGTCATTTTACTGCACTGTTGGGAAAATACCCACTCCCTCTAACATGTGGCCATAAGACCAAAGAGCTTCTATAATTACCTACCTATAAATGTACTAAAGATGTCAAAATTACTGTTACTTTAATGCCAAAACAACACTAGGGCCTACAAGATTACCCCTTTTTAATAGTCAACCAGTCATCCACAAAAGTACCCAATTAGTCGATGGGTCAATGTTTACCACACGTGAATGGATTAAGACATGAAGTGAAGCATCATTAATCATTGGACTTGCAGTTTCTGGTAAGTTCAGCACTGAGACTGTCAGAAGTAAAAGTATGCATATTCCCATTGTCACCTTCATGCATTTTGAACTGTCATGAATGACCCAATCGCCTCTGGGCAACACTGGATTATTATTATTTTTTTTTCTCACAGGAATATCAGTTTGTATATGAACACTCCAAATGAACTCCTTTTCAGACACCCGCAGCACATGCAGGGCTATGTGAATGGTAAGCATATTAAGCATGCAAGACTAAATGGCAAGACTATCTACTTTAATGGGGAAATTTTTCAATAAATGGTTGCCAAACTCACATTTAAATAACCTTAACATCAACAAAATCTGACATATGTCCTGTTCACACAAAGAAAAGTGCACAAATTTGGTGATAAAATTTTCATTTGAATGAACGGCTGTTAATGCATCTGTTCAGACTGACAATGCAACAGATTTTTTGCACGGAGAGGTGTTCAAACCTCTTCTCCATTGCACTGCGAATAAACCTGGTGGTGTTTGAAAACATACACCACAGAGAACATACAATTCTGAATATTTGTTTGAAAACATGGAAATACTGTTTGACTTCTCTGTGAAAAGAAAGTTGTGCAGCACGGTTTTGTTTACAATTGTAACAGAGTAAACGCTGTATTTCAGCTTTTTAATAAGTGCTACCAACTGTCATAGAGTGAATATGCATGCTTGCAGCCCCTCTGCAAATTTTTTTTTACACATTGACGCACTGATTTTATGCACTGATCGCACATACATTTGGCTGAGAAATCACCCCTAAAAGATAACTTAAAGTCATTATTGTGTTAAATGAAAAAAGCATCAAACAGAAATGACAAAACTTAGCTTTAGAAAGAAATATATATATATATATATTTTTTTTTTTTTGGGTGAACTATCCCTTTAATTCGTTTTTTAATATTATTAATATGGATTTTTTTCCAGATTTTTTTATTAATATGGAAATATTAAATTATTGTTATTATTATTTTTTTATGAAATGATACTCTAACTAAAACTGCTAGTAGATGGTGGTAAATGTCTTAATGAGCATGCCACTGAGTTCATTCATTAATTCGATTATTTCAAATGGCTGATTCATTCAAGAATGAAGTAAATGGCTCTCTTTATGAATGGGCTATTGAATCATTGATTCATTCCTCATTTAAAACACAGATTCATTCAGAAAGTATGCATTGCATGGAGACGCACAACAGTTCTGCTGTGGCTTTAATAGGTAATATTTGCATTGGCAAAATTGAGCAAAAACAGACAACACTGTCTCTAAAATATAACACAATATTACGTTTTTATTTATTGAACTGTTGTATAAAATTAACTTATATCCGGTATTTAAGTTTTGTCTCAGTAGTCAAGCCAATATATTCAAGCCAGCAGAGACAAAAAAAATATTAGTATGTACCTGTTATGCATACTATAATAATTATAGTCTCCAGGAACAGGTGAAAGAAGTTGTGAAATGTCACTAGCAACGCTAAGCTGTGAAAATTCTGGTGTCGTGACAACCCTAGTATGAACGTGTGCATGTGTGCACTCAGTGTGCGTTTATCAGGAAGTGGGGGTGTGGTAGGGTTGGTTAACAGGTGGGCGTCTCTGTCTTGATTAGAGCTGTCTCTCTTGGGGGCCCAACAATGGGATGATTACTTCCTCTAGCTGCTGGCAGTGGCCCAGTGCATTGCTGCTGGCATGACTGGCTTTACAAAGAGCCCTTACAGCCGGGTCTTATTGTATCCTTTTCTGCCAACCACATGCCAAAATACATCAACTCCCCACCACAGGCAGAAAAAAATCATTGGTAATAAGCTGCAGTTGTAACCACTGCAAAGGCACACGAGAAATTCATTTCTTAGCCATCAGGCTACAGGAAGAGTTCATCAGGGGTTAAAGCATAAAAAAATCCTGAGCCTCAACTTTTTCCCGGGGGTTGGGGGTTGCGGAGGCGGACACATACACAGGGTTATTTGGCAAACGAAAAAAAGAACATTATTTGAAAATGAAGTTCCTTGAAACTAACTAGTAACGTATCTGCCATTGCCATTAGCCCTGGTTCAATAGAACGAGACCATGTTTTAATACTTTAAGAAATTTTCAAATGAGAAAATATTTGTTTTTTAATCACAAAAATTAAAACAATGCAGTTGTATTTTGAAATGTTTTAACTAATCTAGGGCTTAACTAATGATTATTTTGCTAATCAAGTAATCTACTGATTATTTTGACAAGTGAGTAATCTGAAATTTTTTAGTAATACAAATAGAACTAAGTGGAAAAACAGGCTTTAATATGACTATATTTATATATAAAGTAA